ACGGTCACTCCCTTCTCAACCATATTCTCATCTCTCCTCATCTCTCCTCGGCTAAGAAGATCCTCTACTCGATTTAGAGATCCTCAGTGCAGATCAACAAGATGAGTAGTCGAGTATACCCAGCTAAATCTTACCTCTCTCACTTTTATTTGAATTTACTGTTTGGAGGTTTCACGGTTTAGACTCGACAACTCTAAACTCAAGACTCTAAATTGTAAAGCAAACCCTAGGTATCGAATCCGGGCCCTGTCATCTCCAACAACAGCAATATAACCTACCAGGTATACTCTCTCTTTAAAAGTTTACCGAGAATTCCCTCCCCGACAAATCCTCTTTCAATTATTTACTGTGATTTTTATTTTTAAATTACTCTCAAAACATTCATTTAAATATTACTAGATAAATAAAAATACAATTATTGTAAATTATAATAATAATAATAATAATAATAATGTATATCCTACTCATCTTTTACAATAAATTAAAGTATGTTATTTATTCAGCTTTTTATTTGCTCGAATACCTGTTAGTCATTCATTCTATTTTTTTTTTTTTTCTATAATTTTATCAAGTACGTACTTTAACTACTGAATATTACGTACCTTCACTCTAACCTTTGTCTTACTATTTATTTTATTCGGGTGTTTGTTCAGTATATTCAGAGTGATTTAGTCGTTTTAAAATTTTTACAAGATTTTTTTAGACGCTCTATTGACCGTTTGGAGGCTATAGAAAGTTTCAACTAGATTTATTAGCATTTAATAAATTGGAATGGAATTTTTTTTTTTTAATTTATTATTTTTTTATGCTATTAGATAATAAAACTAAAATCAGCAGATACTTGATAATTTTTTTTTTGTTTTTAAAATAAATTAGGACTAAAAAAATATTTTTTTTTTAACACATATAGTTTTTTTTAGTACTTACATGTGAATTTATAAAAATATTTTTTTTTTAATAATTTATTTGTTTAAAAAATCATAAAAATTATTGGAAAATTAATTTGGCAGATATTTAATAATTTTTTTTAAAAAATCAATTATTGCAAAATAAAAATGAGAAAAAAAATTGACATTTAGAAATTTAGAAAATAAAAAAATGCAATTTTTTAAAAATAATTTTTTAGAACAAATTTTTTTATTTAATAAAATTAAAAAATAGTCTGCTAACTTTATTAAAATTAAAAATAATTAATTTAAGACTCCAAATGGTCATTTGACCATAATAATTTTTTAATAAAAAAAATCATAAAATTTCTTAAATGTCGGCTAACTTTACTTTCATCATATTTTACATCTACTCCAATTTATTTAAAATTATCCTTAATTTCAAAAATAAAAAAAAAAAATCTCACCAGCAATAAAACAGAACTCCACTGTGATGACTATGAAATAGATCCTTCAAGACTGCGGGTCATCCCGCTGAGAAATGTAAATAATCCTGATCTGAAAAACTACCACCAGCACCAAAACCATCAGCAGCTATTCCTTGTATTTTCTCGCACTTCACTAATTATAATAATAATAATAATAATAATAATAATAAGCACCAGCATTTACATTTACATCCTTATCAGCCAACCAGCACAATTACCAAGAACGTCCAGCAATCAGTAATCCAACGAAAATAAACAACAAAACAAAAACAATTAAACTCGACGATCGTTGGGATTGTTTCCCAGCATCTTAAATTACGTTGTCTACATCTTCGGCACTTTAATTATCACCTGTCGACATTGTTCCAAACTTATTCTGAACTCTGCGAGATTATTTTGTATTTAAATACCATTTCGGTATTGTGACGTCACGGCTGAGCAATATTTTTTTTGTATTTCAAAACTTGTCATCTGAAATCAATAAAATATTTTAAATTAAATTATCAAATTAAATAAAATTAATCATTAAAAAAGTAAAATAAACAATTTACCAAAACAAAAACTCGAAAACGTCAACTACGTAGCAGAATTTGTGTCTCCGTTTATTCCCTTTTACGTTGGGCGCCGGCTGTTGTGCTACTGAAAGAGAGGTTATGCCAGAACCTCCTATCCAACATTAGCAAAATATCACTTTTTTTTTGTCAAGAGATTCACAATTTACAAGTAAATTGCAAATATCACCATAATACCTCACTCATCAGCTGTTTTTAAGAACCAGCAACAACAAATAAAGAAAGTTTTGTGAGAAACTCACTATATTGGAGCACTGAGTTATCAATATTATGTGTTAACAAGGCATCCGACGGCATCCAGACCTTTCTAGACGCTGGTAAATGTTTTAAACTCTGAACAATAATCACAAGTATGCTCACTGTTCACTGTACAATTATGTCGTCGCCAACAATACGCTTGATGAACACTCAGACAAACGATTTTTGTCTTTATAATTGTTAAACAAACGGCTTTAAAGCAAGATACAACATGTTTACCGTCCGACGGTTCAATTGTGACTGCAATAAGTAGTCCTAGTCTCAGCTGCTGTAACCCCCACCAGGAAGGAGTTTGCTGAACGGAGTCGACACCCCAACAGGGCGGACTGCTGATAAATCCCTCCTTTGCTGTTTCTTCATATCGCTAAAGACTACCCATTTGTTTTTAACCCCGCCTGTTTTGTTTTAATGTTTTAATGTTTTAACAATTCATTATTTTTTTAAAACTGCTTATTTACTAATTAAAAATCGGATGGTACTGTCCAATAAAAATTGCTATCAAATTTTTAGTTTTTTTTTTTATCAACATACAAGCTTGCTTTTGACAGGTGAGTTTTTGGTCTTCATGGAGAATTTTTGACGAAATTTATATAATTATAGTTTGGTAATCAAATCTTACGACATATTTCCAAATTATGCGACGAGCAGCTGCTAAATTAATGATATTGAAGCTGGCAGTCATTAGAAATTTTTTAACAATGAAATTATTACAAAAAAAATTTTTTTAATTATTTTTATTACTTGTAATTAGAACTTAAAAAATTGACAGCTGTCAGCTGACTCCATTATCATTTTAATTAATTTAAATTTGAATTTCAGCGCCTCTTACGGCTAAAAAAACAAGCAAAAATTTTTAATTTTGATTCGGCGCCAGAAACTCAAGATTCAGCGCCTCTGCGGCAGAAATTGGAAGCGCAAAATTTGGAATGAAGGTTTTTGGAGCTGTCTGGAAGATAGAAGATATACTATTAAGTTTACTTAGATTTTATATAGCGGTAATAAAAGTAAGATGTGATGGCTGTAATAAAATCTTCTTTAATGACGTATTGTTTTAATTGCAAAACGTATAAAGATATAAACGGGTTAATTATTTTTAGAGGTTTGTTGTGGCTTTACGGAACAGGGTTAGTAGCTTTAATCAAAAAGAATAGATAATGTGAGTCTTATTTATTATTTTTGGATAAAAATAAAGCAATAAAGGTTTTAATTTCAACATTATTGAGTTTCAAATCTGCATAATCCATCTTAAAACATTTTTACTAAGATAACTTTAATAATTCATTGCTGATTGATATCTAAGTAAGTATTTTTGTCATTATGATCAACGTATTGATACAAGAAATAAATCAATGTAGTGTTTTTTTGAGAATTTTTAAAGTTTTGTAATTAAAAACTCGGTCATTAATTTTTGTTTACCGGATAACGCGTTTACTTTTTTTGTAAATGATAATTTAATTGGGAATGACTGTACAAAGCTAAGCTTATTGATGAATCATACTCGGTCTATGAATTATTATTATTGTGCTATTACTACTCTACTAATTATCAATTATTTATAAAAGGAATTTTAAACAATAAATTATTTTTTATGTTTTCAAGTTTGGATAAATAATTGATCAATAATAAATAATCATTTTTAAGTAAAAATATGTAAAACAGGTTGCTTTAAAATAATTTGAAGCCTTAAAAAAATATTTTATAATTAAATAATTTTAAAGTTTTATAAATATTGAGTATTTTTAAAAATTATGTAACAATAATATAATTCCGCTAACGTTGCACTTAAATATTATTTTTAAAAATAAAGTGCGTAAATATATTTTAACTATAAAATACTCCAAAATTAAATTTGTTTTTTAAATTACTTCAATGATTGTTAATATAAATATTTTTATTAGTATTAAGTATTTAATATCATAAAATAATATAAATTTTTAATAAAAAATTAATAAGACGTGCAAAAACTTGCTCCAAATGTTAAATCTAACAAAAATAATCATAAATTTTAACTTTTATAAATAAATTAAGTTATTTTTATAAAAATTAAAACCAAAAAAACCAAAAATTTTGCCGAAACCCGGGATTGAACCGGGGACATTTAGATCTTCAGTCTAACGCTCTCCCAACTGAGCTATTTCGGCGCTATGGTTTAAAAAAAAAAAACTGTTGACAAGAAGTAAGCAAAATAATTAACTAAACTTTAATATAAAAAAATAATCTTACCGCTAGTGAATCATTATTATCACTACCTTAGCTCATGAATAAAAATAATAAATGATTATCATTAAAATTATCAGTAATTAAAGCGACTTTGGAATTTGGAGCACTGTAAAAAATAGTTACGGTACAATAACAATGGCGGTGGCTCAATAATTGATTAATCATTATTATTATTATTATTATTATTATATACGTTCCCACGAGTAAAGACACTTATCATTTGTTCTTATAAGTTTATTTAAAACTCGGTTAATTTATTAATTCAGTACTCGTTCATCAGCACGCAAGTAAATTGGTGAGTTTTCATCCATCAATCTTTAATGTTTTATTTTTGTAATTAAAAAAATATTGGTCTTGTAAACAGGTACGTTGATTAAATTTATTATTTATAAAAATTTTTTCATATTGTCGCTTCAAAATAAATAAATGTGTTAGTGTTTAACAATTAAGTAAACAATTGTGTAATTAAATAAGCAAAAATAAAACATAACCTAATTTTAATATTGATCCAGCTGACTGAAATATATATTTTTTTTTTTTTTTTTTTTTTTTTTTTTCAGAAAACAGCAGACAAAATGCAGCAAGCTATGCTCCTGTGTAATGGAGTTCAGACTCATGTTATGACAGAAGGCCGATGGGTTGAAGAAGGTCTCTCTCAGACCGGTTCAAAGGACTTGGTGATAGTCATTCCTGGGAATCCCGGGATTCCCAGTTTCTATAGCGGATTCATTAAATCCTTGAAGTCGCGTCTGCCTTCTGAGACTCCTGTCTGGACTGTCGGTCACGCTGGACATGTCCAGCCGCCTAAAAATCTGTGCTTCATGTCTGAGGACGATTCTGACAAGCCAGTTTATACTTTGCAGGATCAATTGGAGCACAAGGTATTTTTTATATTCTAAATATTTTATTTTATGCTAGAAAATAATTATTATGAAAATTATTATGAAAATTCATTAATAGATATTTGATCATTTTTTTAACAAATAAATTATTGCAAAAAAAAAATTTCTGTAGAAATTTTAAAAAATTAAAAATGCAATTTTTTTTTAAATAATTTTTTTACTAAAAAAAAAAAAAAAAAATTTAATGACATAAATTATTTTATGACTCAGGTGGCTTTTATCAAACAATATGTCCCCAAGGATGCAAAGCTTCACTTAGTAGGTCACTCCATAGGCTCCTGGTGCATTCTTCAATTATTAAAAGACCCAGAAATAGCAAAACAAGTCGTTAGATGTTACTTATTATTCCCGACAATAGAACGAATGGCTGAAACTCCAAATGGAAAATTTCTTACTAATTTTGTAAGTTTAATTTACATTTACTCTATTTATTTTATGATTAATTCAATTTTAACAAAAAAATTTTTACAGGTTTTAAGAGCAGCAACTTTAATAGTATTTTTAGCCTGGATATTTTCATTCTTCCCGGTGGTATTACAATCAATATTAATCCGTATATTTGGAGGATTCTTCGCTGGAGTTACTAATAAAAGTATAAAGCCAGTGCGTCAACTCCTAGAACCACCGGTGCTGGACAGAGTTTTCAAACTGGCCCAAGATGAGATGGTCAAAGTACGAGAGCGGGATGACGAGTTGATAAGCAATTACGAAGATAAACTCTGGGTGTATTACGGCGCGACCGATGGCTGGACTCCTCAAAACTATTGCACTGAATTGAAAGCAAAACATCCTGATATAAATGCCCAGATATGTAAACGCGGATTTCGCCATGCATTTGTACTAACTGACGAGGTTGAAGTTGGTAAAATGGTTGGAGATATTATCAGTGAAACTATGTCAAACAACCCATAATCACTAGATATTTTTTTTCTAATCCAAACGCATTTATAGAGTTATGGGCTAGGATTTGTAACTGATTTTTATAATTAAATAAAAATATATTCTTGGTTTAATAAATTTTATTTTGTTTAATGAGAATGAAAAAAAAAAAAAAACGAATTTAATTACCTTGTGAAAAACTTACGAACCAGAGCGTAATGTATTTATATTTATTATAATTAATTATAATTAATATATCGGAATTAAAAAATCAGAGCTTTTGTTTTTCTTTTTTAGCTTGCTCGGCAAGTGCCTCTAGTCGGTCATGTTCTTCAATCAGAGCTGTGACTTCACCAGCTGATAAAATTCTTGTTATTGTTTTGCCATTCTCACGTGTCAAGGTCGCCATTTCAACTAAAAATAAACAAATAAATTACGTATTACAAAAATGATAAAGAAAAATTATCGATAAGTCTATTTATAATTCCAGACATCAAAATTTTTATCGATAAAAAAAATATCTCACCTTTTTCAGCAGTAAGTTTGGTCATATCAAGAGTCTTGGACAAAACTTTGATCGCCAAAGCCTGAGCATCCTTCAAAGTGGTCTCTCCCTCTTTGTACTCCTGCTTCAGTGAAGAAATAGCTGCTGCGGAATTGTTCCCGATACAGGTGGCCTTCCAGCCTCCGTAGTTTCCACTGGGGTCGGACTGGTACAGCTGGTAGCCGTAGTGTTTGTCCCAACCCATGTAGAGAATTGAAACTCCAAAAGGTCTCTTGCCACCGAACTGGGTGTAGGCTTGCTTGACATCGCACAGCCATGATACCAACTGCTCGCAGGGAATTGTCTCACCGTACTGGAGCAAGTATCTTTGCCCGATAAGTCTCAGCTCGTTTGTCAGCACGTTTGCGTCGGATGTTATCCCGGCGACTGAGCAGACAACGTCGTCGTTGAGCTTGTAGATTTTCTCGGAGAAAAATACCTCGTCGAGGAGTTTGTTTGTGTTTCGTCGCTCAGCTGCTAACAAGATCCCGTCGTTTGCTAAAATTCCCAAACAGGTTCCTGCGTGACTGATCGCTTCCATCGCGTACTCCACTTGGTACAAACGTCCCTCCGGAGAGAATATTGTCGTACGGGTGTCATATCTGCGAGCCTGTTAATTTTTTAATGAAATTTTTTTTTTATTCAAATTTTTACAGTCAAAAAATAAAAATTGGAAATTAATTGCACTGAAATTGACTGACATTTTAAATATTGAATTAAATTCTTAGTGAAAATTTTATGAAAATTAATTTAGCAGATATTTGATCATTTAAAAAATTTTTTTAAAAGAAGCATTTTTTTTTTTATTGTAATTGATTTGTTAAAAAATTTTTAAAAAATTGACAGCTGTCAGCTGTTCAGTACCATAAAAATTAAATTAACTTTTTAAAAATTTACAGGTAATTAATAAAATATTTATTAAAAAATTATCAAATTATATATGAATGACAATGCAATATCCAATATAACCTAACTTCTGAAACTTTACGGTATAAAAAACAAAGTACTATTTTTCGGCTTTCTATTTTTCGATAATATTACTTAAAGTTTATTATTTATTTAAAAAAAAAACTCACCATTTTATTTAATTATTTGCAATATTTGTGTATTAAATAAATTGTTTATTCACTGCCGTTGCTTAACAGTGTCACTTACACAGTATCGAAAAAATGAGCTTCTGTCCTTATTAAAAACAAGCCTTTATGAATTCGATAAGTCAGTTTCCAAATGTCAAATTTTATTTTATCAACAGCTGATATTTTTTTTAATACTTTAATACATTCTTTAGAGGGAGTTTGTTTGTTGTCACATTTGTGTTTTGACATACCACGTTGTTTTTGGTTAGAACAATTAAAACTATTGTTTCAAATATTATAAAAAATAAACCGATCACCATAATAATGCACAATGTCAACAGACATTTTAGAACTGTTAAACTCACCAGAAATGACAAAAGTTTGCGCTCCAATGGTGCGATACAGCAAGTAAGTATTTTAAATTAAAATCCTATAATTAAAGAAAATTTAATTAACCATATTTTATTAAAACAGATTAGCTTTTCGGACACTAGTGAGACGTTACAATTGCGATGTCTGTTTTACACCCATGATCGTGGCTGATTCCTTTGTGAAGGCCAAAGAAGCACGTGATAATGAATTTTCAACAAATGTTGGAGATAAACCTTTGATTGTTCAATTTGCAGCTAAAAATCCAGACGAATTTGCTGATGCTGCTGAATTAGTTGCTCCGTAAGTAATTAATTATTATTATTAAATTAAAAAAAAAAATTATTTTTTTAAAATTAGTTAGCAGTCTCTTGATCATTTTTTAATTTTTTTTAATAAATAAATTTGCTCCGAAAAATTATTTCTAAAAAATTGCATTTTTTATTTTTTTTATTTTCTAAATGTCAATTTTTTTTTCTCATTTTTTTTTGACATAATTTATTTATTAAAAAAATTATAAAATATCTGCTAAATTAATTTTCATTATAATTATTTATAATATATTATTTTCAAAACATAATTACAAAAAATAATTAATTAATGAATATCAACAGATACTGCAATGGAGTGGATTTAAACTGTGGATGTCCTCAGAGCTGGGTAATGAGCGACGGTTACGGCGCGCGTCTACTAGAAAACCCACAACTTGTAAAAGACCTAGTTCTGCAAGTGCGAAACCGCATCCCGGCTCCTTTTACAGTTTCGGTAAAAATTCGGCTGCTGAATGACGTAAAAAAGAGCGTGAACTTTTGCAGAACAATGGAACAAGCTGGAGTGTCATTCCTGACAGTCCACGCGCGGACTCCGCAGATGAGAAAGGAACCTATCAACATGGAAGGTCTGAAACTGATCCGCGATTGCGTTGACGTTCCTCTGATAGCCAACGGCAACGTTAGATCTCTAGAAGACGCCGAAGCGCTCCACAAAGAGTCCAAGTGCCAAGGAGTCATGGTAGCTAGCGCGATGCTGAAAAACCCAGCAATTTTCTCCGGAGCTCCGGTGACTCCTCTCAGCTGCGTTCAAGACTGGCTTGATATTTCTTCAGCGATCCCGACAAAGTTCCTCGTCATGTATCAGCATCTCGTATTCATGCTGGAGAAAATCTTGCCCTACGAAGAGCGGCTGGTGTTCAATGTCCTCAAAGACTCTCAATCTGTCTACGACTTCATTGAGTCTTACTATAATTTAAAGCCTAGAGCTCGCTCGGACTTGGATTTTATCAAGCCCATTGATTGTGATTATTATGTCAAGAATTTTGATAAAAAGCGCAAGTCTCTGGATGTTCTGATGGATGATCCAGATACTAATGAATCATTTTTTTCTGGGTTTTTTAATTGACTGAGCATCAACCGGTTAGTTGATGATTTTTTTTTACAAAAATAAATGTAAATTACTGTACAGTAACAATGAAAAGTTAAGCAAAAGTATTTGACATTTGTAAAATCGATCGGCGGGCGACGCGTGCGCGCCTCATTTTCTGTAATATATTAAATATATTTACTATCCAGAAGGAAGTCGTGGCATACTCATTGACAAAAGAATTTTTTCCAGGCTCTATTTTTTTTAATATTACTATTAAATTTTGAATTAATAATGAGAATTATTCCGCTGATTTGTGGGTGAAATTTATTTTTTATTTTGTTTGTATTGTTTGACTTTATTAATAATAATGATAAACAATAATATTACCCGAAAATCTGGTAACGTTTGATTAATTACACAAATATTGAAACAACGAAGTGGTTTAATAATGCCGCCGCTAACTGTGAGTGTTACTTAGATATTAATTTTATCAATTAACTCTTGTGTTAAATTAAAACTAATTTTATTAATTATTAGTTTGAGAATTAAAAATATTTAATCTTTTTAAAAAAAATAAAAATTCATTGAATTTTTAAACTGTTAAAAAAAAATAAAATTTTTATTTTAAAATGTATAAAAAAGACTATGTTAAAATTCACATTTGTGTTGAACAATTTAAATTAGCATAATTTAAATATATAAATTAATTTTTAAAAACAAATTTTAATTTACTAAAAATTTAGTTTAAAAATAATTTAAATATTACTTTAATTAAAAAAAAAAAAAAAAAAAAAAAAAAAAAAAAATGTAATGCCTCAAAAAATGTGTAAAAAAAATTAACCAGTTCTCACCCTAAATAATTAAATTGCGAAAGCCCCAATTACTTAAGCGGATAAATAAAACTGGAAAATTTTCAGTAAATTAAAATAATTATGACTATGTTTATGTTTGTCGTTACATAATTACAGAATAATAAACCACGATGAGCATCTATGTGCTCAATGGCAAGCTGTCAGTCCTTTGTTGATGGTCCAGTGAGTACAATAAAAATATTTACATTTTTTTTTATCAATATAATTAATATTAAAAAATGAAAATTTATTTTTAATGATTTATATTTGATGATTTAGGTAGCGGCATAATGGTAACAAGAATGGGAGCGAGACGTACAGGATTCAGCGTGTTGTCCGGGAGCGGCTCAAGCCTGAACAGCAGGTCGAGCTCCGGAGTCCTGAAAGACCGGGCTAACATGTCTTTCATGCTGGTGGTGATGTTCTTCGCAGTGTTTGGGATAATAGTGCTGACGGAGATATTTCTAATTGACGAGAAGCGGGGAAATAGCAGAACAGGAGCGTTTGGAGGTCATAGGAGCGGTCATCGAATGGGTTCGGCACTCGACCGACCTGATTACGAGGAAGTAGTCGCTGATGACTATGCGACCTTGAAGGGAGGCTTTGACGCTCAAATCGGATTGCTGTTGATGAACAGCAATTTGGAATCGAAAGCTGCTGAAGCTATTCCTTCAGATCCGAGGGGGATGTCCAGCTTACCCCCCAGTGTTGAAGTTAGACTGCCGTCGCTGGATCCTAATTTGCAGATGACTGATGCAGAATGGTTGCCAGTTACTAATACGAGGTATTTTATTGTTTTTTTATTTTATTAAATTATTTTTAATAAAAATTTTATTAAATTATTTTTAATAAAAACTCTTTCAGATTCAAATTTTTTGTTTACTCGGCGTATTACGACGACCGAGCAGTGGGTAGTCGGAACGGAGGAAGCTCCAGCCTGAGTATGATCCAGTCAAAAAAAGGAAAAATAATCGGGAAATCCCCGGGCTTAATAAGAATAATCGGAGCAACGAAAACACGAACCCCAGAGCGGGTCTGGTGCCGGCTTTGGTATCGCTTCGAACGAAACAACACCAACGTGACGTTATCAGTGACAGTCGCGGCTAAAATAAAGGTGATAAGAGAAAACTGGAACCTGAAATACAGCGCGTGTTTCGTTATCTGTCAATTGCCTAATCAAGCGCCCTCATTGTCCGATTCCAAGGCGGTATCTCTCCCAGAATCGGTCAGCGTCGTCGCTAAACTACGTACTGCACCGGCGAATCGAATATTTATACAAAATCGCCCGGAAAATCGGCCCAACACCCGACAAGATCTTGCCATTTGTGTTAAGCCTCTTCATTATGATTACAATCGAGTAAGTTTTTTTTATTTCAATGATAATTACCATAAATAATTACTAATGATAAATGTTTTAGGTTTTACAATTAATTGAGTTCATCGAGCTTCATCGAATATTGGGAGTCAATCATGTGACTCTGTACAACGACACTGTGGGTGCAGAAGCGGATTGTGTCTTAAAGGGTTATCAAAGTCGCGGATTAGTGACTTTTCTTTCTTGGCATCATCTTGACATGATATCACAACGGGAAATACGTACTGAAGGCCTCTTTGCAGCTCTTAATGACTGTTTATATCGTTCAATGTATAAATATGAGTATGTTGCTCTTTTGGATCTTGATGAATTTATTGTTCCACGATATAATGATACTATTTTACAATTAATTCGGTAATTATTATTATTATTATTATTATTATTATTATTATTGTTATATTTAAAAAAATGTATTTTATTAAACATAGGTGGATATCAAGCAGAGTAAATCCAAAAACAAGTAGCGCATTTTCATTCCAAAATGCATTTTTTTATCTTCAATGGCCTGACGATCCCTGGATAACTGTCAGCAAGACACCAACAGAAGCCGGATTGATAACACTCCGTAAAACCCGCCGTAAATCAAAATTACACCCCCACAAACAGCGTTCCAAGTACATATGCAAGCCAAGAGACATAATAGAAGCTGGAAATCACTTTGTTTGGGAATTTTTGCCCGGACATGGAACCCTGAATGTCCCGGCAGACGCGGCAATCCTTCACCACTACAGAGTTTGTGAGTTTGGTGGTAATGATTGCATTAAAACGCCGTCGATTATCGACAGGACTGCTTACAAGTATCGCGACAAACTGGCTGAAGATGTTGATAAAATTTGGACGGAACTTAATGACAAATGTGTTCTTCCCGAGCTTGAAGCAGTGCCTGCATTGTCACCTCTCGTACCAAGTAGCCCAGATGATATTCAAACGAGGTAGCATTATAATTTATAAACAAACATATTTATAACCATCTTTGTCAACATTATTTTTACGAATATACAGAAGCAAGCACGGTATTTTTTGTTATTTTTTAATGAAATAAAATATCAATAAAATAAAATTTATCAAGCATATCTAATAAAAAAAAAATTAAAACAAATGGTATGTATGCATGCGCTCGGATATTGTAAGAAATTGCGGCCAAAAAATTTCAGAATATTTAATTAAATACTCTAAATATATTGATAAAAAAAAAAAAAAAACTAACTATTAATTATAAAAAAGTCAGGCTCTAATTTTTTTTAATTAAATCTTTTGACTAATTAACTGTAAATATCAAAATTTTAAAATTGCTCAATAATTAACGGCCAATGATTATCGTTGACGATATTTATCATCACTTTTAATTGTATTGTATACAAAAAAAAAAAAACTATTTTTTAGTCAAAAAAAAATTACACGAGACTGTAATGCACACGTAATTTAACGCTAAAATTTTTTAATCATTAAAATTGTAAAAAGTAATGGTATTTATAATAATAATAATAATAATAATAATAATAATAATTTATAATTTAAAATTAAAAGTATTATTAATGGTGCTTTAATTAAATAATAATAAATTACGGCGATTGTAGATTAAATACCTAGATTTAAATAAGTATTATATTATTTATTTATGATATATTAATATTAAAAATCTTCATCAACATGCCCAGCTTTACTGATTGATCTTTTTTCCGAGTTTCCTTTAAAATCAAGCGAGGCAGCTATCTCATGGCTTGTCACAGAGTTTAATAAATTGCCTCCGACGTTTTCAATATCAATGTCATCATCTTCCTCATCGTCATCAAGGTCGCCATCAATCAGAAGATCGCTGTCGCTGTCATCCAGCGAACCGATACTGTCATTTTCGCGTAAGCCGCGAGGCCTGCCTGACATTGTTCCATATATTCTTCTTTGGTTCAACTGTACCCGTGATGCTCTTCCAGTAATTTCTAAAAAATTTTTATATAATTAATTACAATAAATAAAAAAAAAAATCTATTTAAAAAATACCTCCAGGTTGGTCATTTTTGTCTGAGCTTCTCTCCGCTTCATCAAGATTCAAGGGACGGATATTGTTGGTGAAAATTGAGTCATTGCCCTCCATTATAGTTTCAAAACTCGCGTCCTCGCCTCTGAGTTGTTCTAATTGTCTTTTGGTAGCCGCTTGTCTCTGCTCAAACTTTTCTTGCTCGACCTTGGTCATGTCTTCGTACAAATGCTCTAGATATGCCAAGTACCGGCATTTCTGCAGGTAATGGTCATAAACTCCTTTGAGTTCAACTTCTAATTTTTCAAACTCTTCCATAAATGCTGGACGGACTTTCCGCAAGGTCATCAGTCTTTTTTTATTCCTCTCTAATTCCATTTGTCGTCTTTCAATTTTTGTTTCTAAATTTTGCTCGGTCTCCTGAAGAATATAAATATTTAATGACTAAAATTAAAATATTTAATGACTAAAAATTAAATATTTAATGATTAAAATTAAAATTTTTTTTATAACTAAAAATATCCCGAAGAAAATAAATATTTAACGACTGACATATCAATCAAACTGTACAATAATTGATTAATATTAAATATTAAACCTGCACCTTGACATTATCAATCTGTCGCCGAGTATCATCAATATCCTTCTTCATACTATCGATAACATCTTTCAAAGCAACTTCTATTTGCGAAGTATCGAATTGTCTTGCAGCTTTATTATTCCTGACTTCCCGAAGCTGAACTTCTCTTCCCAACAAGTCAAACAAACTAGCCCCGCTGACTGTCAACTGGCTGGCCATTTGCCTGGTAGTCTTCAATTCGGACAGCTCGTCGGTGATGTCTATCACCAGAGGATTCAACATTTCTCCTGACATTATTTCATCCTCAGCATTTTTATTCTGCGCTTCGTACAACGCTGTCGCTATTTTTAGAAGCTCATGAACTGCATGCCCATCAGCTTGGTACAGTTTTTTTGTATTTAATTTGATGTTGGTCTTTATTGCCTGTAAAAAATTTTAATTAAATTAATTATTTTGTCTTTTAAAGTAATTATTTTATAGTTACAATAAATTCAGCGGCCCGTCGAATTATTGACACGCGATCTTCTACAGTTTCATACTCAGCAGTCATATCTGAATCGGGATCAAAGCGATGAATCAGCCAGACTAAAATTTCGGCGACCAAAGAAAAATTTGGAACTCGAAAATTTGACAGAGAAATTAATCTAGGATAACCCAAGAATCTCATTGTTTCAGTAAAGTCTGAAATAATTTATTATTAATTTTTTTTTTATTTGATAAATAAATAAAACTTACTCCGTAAATCCCGGCAAGACATTATAAAAAATTAGTTTGGTAAAACCACTGGAAATAATAGCTATCTACAATAGCTTACTAAAGTGTTTTGAAACTTTATTGTAATTCAGTGTCATGCTTTAGTTACCTTGGCAACCAAATTAACAACACAACATATATAGGGTGAGAATAGAAACCTCATTTTTTTTTTTTTATGACGGCCGTCGTAGTAATTTTTATCGAAATACAGCCTTCAAATATTTTGTAATAAATTTTGTAATTTACAGCGATAGAATAAAAAAATAATGGTAATTTTTCCACGTAATAAGTACACTAAATCTATTTACACAAATTTATTTTATTTATTATTCCTTAAAATATATAATTAGTCGAGAGTAATATTACGATCTTGTTTTATTTGCGAGCGCATTCTTTTTTCGTAAATGCGTTCTCGAGCAGCTTTGATTTTCCTCTTGCGCATCAGCTCTTCACTCTCTGGATCTTCGACTTTTTCTGGAGTAATTGTCCTCCTGATCATAGCTCGCAGCTTCTCTAGAGCATCAGCAACATTTAGAGTCTGGTAGCGGGTCACTTCAGACTTTACTACCAAAAATCCGTCTTTGTTTATTCTATTTTTCTCCTAGAATAAAATTATCAAAAAATTATCATTAAAATTATTTCTAAAACTTGATTTAAAATTTTTTAAATTTAATAAATAAAAGTCAAACCTGAATCAATAATTTCTCTTTAATTTCTTCGGATAACCACGAGGCCTCTTTAACGTTAAATCGTACGTCAGCTTTAGTATTTGTTTTATTGACATGTTGACCTCCTGGGCCACTACTTCGGCTGTAAGTTATCGTAAGTTTTTCCATTGGAATAAACCCGCTGAACTTTGCATCTTTATCTGGTACCTGAAAATTAAAAAAAAAAAAACATTTTTTTAATTAACATTATTATTGTTATAAGCTAAAAAAATTTTTATAGTAAAATAAATGTCAGCTGTTACTAAAAATGACATAATAATAATTAGATTTAAGTAATAATTATTAAAAAAAAAAATAAACTTACAAAAGTTGGTGTAAAAAGTTGACTTTTACTATTTGGATATAAATTTTCTTGTGAGTAAATATTTTTAAATGAACAATTACGAAGACTTTTTAAAGAAGAAATTTTATTGCTCAAAATTCGAGCAATTTTAAAACTAACAGAATTCATTTTTTATTTTTATTTTTATAATTAAAAAATTTATAAAACAAGTTTTAATTATTAAATAACCTTTCTTATTTTATGATATTAGTAAATATTGTAAATAGCACTGTGCACAACAGCGCCACCTAGTCAATAATTTTATTAACGACCGTCGATAATGTCTTGCGCAAGAGAGAAAATACTAAAATTGATCATGAAATTGATGGCATCTATCGAGTATTGCGCAAGAAACTGACAGAATATATTTAAAAAATAAAAATGATAGAAATAACAATTATAACTTAATAATAATACTAAATAAAGAGAAGAATATAAACATCCGGTTTCGACAGATTGTTAAGTTAAGTATCAAAAGATTAAAACTGATGAGACTTTTATTTCTGAGAATAAAATAAAATTCCAGAAACGCAAAACCGGATTTATTAATAATTTTTTATTGGATTCCAGAGAAGAAATTTCCTCGATAAATAATTACAACAATAAATCTCCAAAATAGGGCACAAGTTAACCCTAGATCGTTGTTCAGCATAATACAAGTGACGGAAATAATGACTGAGTAATCAATATGTGAAAAAAATATCTAAAAATATTGCGCAAAAATTAAATACTCAGGATATACGAATATATAGACAATAGAAAAATAAGATAATAGTAAAGATCCGGGTAAAACTTGACAACACTTGATTTAATGTGTGTTTTACCCATTGCTACAACATATGTATGTATTATATTTCTATCCACCAGAAGATTCGATCATTGATGAGTGCATATACCTGAAAAAAATTTAATATTCCCAGAATATATTAAGATTCGGCATTAATTCTTTAAAAAATTTTATATGGAGGTATTTATGTTGTTTTCGTGGATATCCCAGCGCCTGTTTTACAACAAACTTGATAGGTCCAAAAAAAAGTATTTATTTATGTAAAGGTCCGGGTTTTACGTCTTTAGCTGCTGAGATCTGGCCTACTCTCGTACATCACCATATACAATGAATAAATTAACATTAATTCTATATAATAATAACAATCTACCCTTTAGAAGAACAAAGGATACGGTTAGCTCTTATTGTAACACAGATTATCATAAGTATTTTATTAGCATCACCTTTTTATTATTTATCGTTCTGTATTGCAGGTGTATTATGTTTATGAAAAGCAACAACAACAACAACAACAACAACAACAACAACAATAATAATAATAATAATAATAAGATTTAAATTTAAATCATTTCTTCTTTAATCATTGTTATTTACATTTTTTATCAATACCTAATAATAATAATTATTATTATTATTATAAATTTAAAAAAATTTTACTCCAAAGACTCAGATAATAATAATAATAATAATAATAATAATAATAATAATTTTTAGGTATTGATAAAAAATGCAAATAACAATGATTAAAGAAAAAATAATAGCATGTGGGATATTTAAAAACAAAGTGGGTAAGGTATATTAAATTTAGTACAAATAAAACAAGTAAAAACACACTCTTACATTAGCCCATTCGTTAAAAGAGGGACGCGACCTTCCTCTATCTCTCTTGGACACTTTCACTGAGTCCCGTGACTAAAATCCTCGTGACTTAAAGTCCCATGACTTCCTCTACACCACTCTGAACCGACCACCTCTTCTTCGGCGAGTATGCCGGTGCTGCATGAATCTTTTTTAAATAAACATTTAACAGCATGATTTTAATTATGAATAATAAATTAAATATATTCAAATAAGAGATAGAAGAAATAATGTTCTAATAACTAGTCCAAGTAACTCACGATTAAAAATTATGTAAACTGACATTATAATTATTATTAACCAATAATAAAAAGAAAACACTCACTTTTTAAAGCTATTCAATAGAAAACAAGCGGCGAAGATGTCGAGGAGAAGGGATTTTAACGTCATTAAACAACGAGAAAGGTACAGCAGGAGAACCTGGTAAATACAGAACTCATCAATTTGCTCACGCTCAGATTCGGTTGTATCTTCAAACGATACGGAAAGTTTATTTTAGTTTTTTTTTTTTTTTTACTAATACGTTTGAATTTTTTTTTTTTTTTTTATTTATTTCTCAGTGGTTCACTAATTGTAGTTAAAATTCACGGGTGAACTTGAAGCAAATAGTAAAGAAGAAGAAGAAGAAGAAGCGCCAGGACAGCAAACGAACGGATGGGCAAACAAATGAATTAACATAATTTATAATTTTGTTTATAAATTTTGGAATAAATTCCATCGAGAGGAAAGGAATTAAAGAGAGAGGCGGTTTAAACTCCCTCCTTTTTATGTGTGAGCCATTCGACTTCCAACTTCTGGCCGAGTTTCTAGCACCGAAGCTCGTTTTGCGAGTTCAGTTTGTTGGGTAGCAACCACTGAACCAGGAAACCATAAAAAGGCTCTATGGTTTACTCAGCCACCCAAAAGTTAAATCTTAAGACACTATTTGCAAGAAATTGAATAATTATCAGTGAAGAGGAGGAGCAAAAAAAGAAGAAATCTGGTAACAAGAGGGACCATGTTTTTAAGGTGAAGCTTCAATAAGTTTTTTAGAGTACTTAGTGGTAGCATTGCTTGAAATAATTTAAAAAAATTTTCCCGGTATTTTGTGCGCATGTGACCCGTGTGTTTCGCAACATATGACACAATTTGATAAGCGGTTTATAAATTTATTTATTTATGGTGGTGGTTTATATAACTCAGGCTGAATTATTGGCATTTGATATTGAATTAAAAATTAGAAATTATACTATTGCATAATAACGAGTAAACTTTCATTGGCTTGCAGTTTATAGTTTGTAGTTTATAGATCCCGTGTGAGTAATTGAGATGAGCGGATTTAATAGTGAAGCTGAATATCGGGGTAAGGTTTTGAGTCAAGGAGAACCACATCGCAATCTCATTATTCAAACTTTTATTGACCATTACGGCTAATTATTGATTTGCATCATCTTTCCGAAGAATAGTATTGTTTTATGTTACTATAACAGTTTAGTTACAGTTATTAAATTAAACAAATATGTATGTCAATATTGTCAACTTAACACAATTACTCGGAATTCTTGTCGCAAATATGTCCTTGAATATTGTCGAGTATTAATTAGTACGCTGGTAAGTAATAGTGAATGAATTGTATTGCTGGGAAGAAAAACCGATTAAACCGTGAAAGCACTTTCACTTACAGAGCAAAGAAGCTTGAGTGTTTTGTTACGAGCAATCATTTCTTCTTCCGGGAGATGTGAATTTATCCTCAAATATTTAAGATGCTTTTAATTTTTTAGCTATTTATTTATTTATTTATTTATTTATTTATCAAAATTTTAGACCCTGAAGCCTTAGCTCCCTAAAATAAATAAAAAAGAAATAAATAACATAATAATATCACTAATAATAAATAAAATAGTAATAATGATAAAATAACTATCACTATTATTTAAATTAATATATAATATAAATTGACTATGATTAAAAGTCTAGATCGGAAAAGTGAAAAATATTTCCAAAACGATTTCTCTTACCTTTTCAGATGTTGACCTACTGACATCCAATTTTAATAATTAAAATTTTCTTGATATGTTTTTCAAAATAATTTATAGCTTCTCTTATTTATCAATTTTTTTTTTTTTTTTAGATATTGAGGGTTTAAGTAGAAGAACAAATTGATTATATTTAATTGGGAATGAATAAAAAGCTTAATCAAGGGAACAGTTTTTAAAATTCCGGGTAAAAATAAAAAGAAAGGAGAGAGTGAGTGCGACTTTTGCCACGCGTCATCGAAAGAGAGTGTCCCTGTCCCTGGCCTATCAGTAAACGGTTTATTAATTCAGTACTTGGCCTTAGGGCAATTATTTTTATTACATATACATAAACTGTTATCATTATTTCACATGCCCACCGGTTTTTCATACCAACAATTAACTCTGTAATTCTTAAGCGCAGCTTGTTCATTTCTTCCCAGCGTGTATCTATTATCGATGTCTTTTTTATTAGATTTCATATTTTTTTTTCTATACGCTAGAGAAAGTATACAATATTTTTATAATTAATTATCCGATCGTAATTTTATGCATTTGTTAAATAATTTTATTCTTTTTTCTTTCAGAAGCTATTCAATTTTTTTAGTAGTAACTTTTGTAGTGACTAACGATGCCATTTCGCCGCCACACAATCAACACTTTGATGTAAATGGTGAGTAAATTTAAATAAATAAGTTTTTCTCACAAATTAACTCACTAATAAAATTATTTTAAAAGTTTATGGATTTTAAGAAATTAAATTGAGTAATTTTACAACAGTAATTTTTTTTCTAACGCTTTAAGTTGCAATTACATTTGTAATACAAGCTTATTGAATAACTTTGTTTTCCTCTATTATTTTTAATAATAATTAAAACTATTACATACCTATAATTATTCTAGATGTGTATTATTAATAAGCGAGAAATTTTTTCTCTCTATAATGATAGTAGAAATTATTCTTCAATGAAGTTTCATTTAATTGCTTGTATATTCATGAGGGAAAAATTCAAATTAGAGTGAAATTAAATTATTAAATTATAAACAAAATTGAAAAAAAAAAAATAAATATAAATTTGAAAGTCGAGATTATTCATTTTAATATGACAGAATATTTATTATATATAACAATAGCTTAAACAAAATTAAGATTAATGTCACTGATTGTATATTTAAATCTCTTGTAAATTTTTTTTAAATGGTTTCATAATTTTTCAGGCCAGAGTAATAATTAATACTTTTGTTAAAAGAATATAATTAATTTATATTGCTTTAAAAAAATTCAAACAAAATGTAATGCAAGTTAAAAAATGAAGTAATACTAACAATGTTATCCACATATAATTTATTTAACAATTGCAAATACAATAATTGCATTTACATTTAAATAATTATAGTTATATCATTTATATTACGATCACGCAAGTAATTACATTAGCGGTTGATACATATGAACTTTTAATTTTTATATCTATTTATATATGGTTACCCTATCCACCCACATATTTATACTAACGTAATACGAACTTTCGCTTGCTTTCCCGTACAGAAAGACTCGCCATTTTATTGATATCAAATCCTTTTAGATTTTTTAAAATTTTATTTTTATTATAAATTACTAAATTTAGAAATGTCAAACCTCTATAATCATAACTCAAGCTTAATTTAATTTTATAATTAACATATTTTTATTTAAATATTTCTTCTTTCAGATTATTTATATGGAGTGGACGATGATCTTCAGGCGCGAGCCCGCGCCGCGATAGAGACCGAATTAAACGCTTACAGAAGGAATGCTCGGTAAGTTTTAATTGTAAAAACTTTTTTAGAAGGTTCTTTGAAGGAAATTTTATTTAAATAAAAAAAAAAAAAAAAATCAAACCTTGTTATTTCTTCTTAAGTATGGTATTAAAAAATGTCTAAACTTAAAGAGAAACGTTGGCAAATATTTTTTTCTAAATTCTTTTGGCAGTCTGTGACATTACCGCGATTAGACTGGGTCGTCATGATGGCCGTGAAAGTAAAACTCGTTGGTAAAATGATGACGCAAGCTGTCATGATAGGTTTAGATCTATAAAATGAGGACACAATAAATATATAATATATAGATAATAAAAAAAAAAAAAAAAAAAAAATAAATAATAATTTTGTTGTTATTATGTAACAGGAGCCAAGGAAATTATGGAAACTCAAGTGCCTGTGAAGATGTTTGGGAAAGTCCTTGCCCGCCGAGCAAGTACCGGACTCCTTCTGGGACTTGTAACAACGTAAGACATCCATCGTGGGGCGCCCGAGGCTCGCCTTTCCTAAAATTTCTTCCACCTGCTTACAGTGATGGTAAAATAATTATTTATTATTTACATTATTGTTGTTATTAGACGTCTGACTGAAATATCATAACAGAGTAATACCTCAATGACATTGTGATTATGCGGCGTGTTTTATTTAGCGGTAGTATTTTTTTGCTTTGCAATAACAATAATGACGGTAAAAAATAATTATAGCGTAAATAAGATGACAAGTTGAATGTATATATGAGGAAGAAAGAAAGTTGATGGTCAAATGGTTGTTGCTCACGGGCACGTAGCTCTTCTTATATCGGGTCAAGAATGGAAAGTGAAAATTGGAACGCGGTTCATACCGCTCCTTCTTATTCTTGTTTGCTGGCTTCTTGTCGCTCCACGTTCCGATTTCTACAAAATAATTTAAACAGCTAGTACATATAGCTCAGTGTTAGCATTTGTCACATACACGTAATTTGATCAATCAAATATGTTTCTATGGATATTAGTTGTTATGATTTTACTCTTCTAATTTATCCAACATCTTTTTTTAATACTAAAGTCATTGAAGTTATTTTTAAAAATTTAATATGACCTTCAAAAAAATTTTAAACAATTTGAAACTTTCTACTTAATAAAAAAACAAAAATGTTTATGAATGTATGAGAAGAATTTCTAATTTTCATAAAAATTAGTGACTTGTTTTGTTATACTAAATAATAATAATCTTTATAAACTTTTTCTTTAGCTAAAATTTCTTCAGCAAACCGCTAAATATATATATTTTATTAATCTGGAGATACAGTAGTGTCTCGCGCCAATTACATATAATTATCAAAATTTAATATTGAGGATATTTATATAAATGGTAGTCACAATACATAAATATACCTTCTGTCTGAATTACACAGTCAGAGATCAACAACATGTAACAATAACAATAATAAAAAATAATGAGGCTATTATTATTAGCATACATAATAAATGCGGGCGTAAGTCAATATATACAATTCAAATAAATACGTCCATTATTATTATTATTATTATTATTATTATCTATATTATTAAGAGAATAAGAAAAATTTCAGGATAGTTATATGATAAAATTGGTTTTTTTTAGTGAAATTTAATGTCATTGCAAAAGTCTTAAATTGAATTTGTGCCTTCTCAAACTTTCATAATTAAGAAATGATCTTGTATCTTGTGAATTAATGACATTTTTAAAGATATAAAAGCTCATCCTGATGTTACACTCATCGAGACTTTTCATTTGAGTACCCACATCAATTTTTCATATATTTTATATATATATGTATATATATGAAAAATATATGAAAAATGCATGTGGGTACTCAAATGAAAGCTCTTGATGAGTGTAACATCGGGATGAGCTTATATCTTTAAAAACGTCAATAGTTAAAAAAGTACAGTGCAATTTAATAAAAGTCATTATTTAATAACGCAAAATTATATTTATTTATAGTTCACATAGCAGTCGTATAATATAATGACCGCAAGGTTGCTAGTTATTATTATCATTATTACATACATATATAATAGCTGTAAAACAATGAATGAATGATTACAACTCTACTTACCCGTATTAATATTCCTTAGGTATATCGAAGCCAAGATCATCAGTAAGCCGTCATGCTCTACCATCACCAATCGACATCATCACTCGACTCCATAAAGTGACAACACGTGAAGAGCGAAAGGCATTGACGAGTCTTACAGGCCTGTGGGCCGAACTAGTTCTCCGCGACATCGCAATGCCAATTACACCTGGTCTCGATACATTACGATGTTGTAAAGATAATCGTAACCCCGAGTGCTACACAAGCCATGATTATCTCGGGGAATGTACGCCATACATGCGAGCCGTTCCAGCACGAAGTGCTTACGGTTGTAAATTCGAGACTCGTGAGCAGATGAACGGCGCTTCGAGTTACCTAGACGGCTCGGACATTTACGGCAGCACCGACGGACAAATGAACCGTCTGCGAACTTACAAAAATGGCCTTGTAAACATCGAGTCCTGCGACACTTGCACCCAGATGGACAACCCGCTTAAATTTCTCTACTCGGTGATAATAAACGAGCACAACCGCGTCGCCAGTGTTATCCAGCAATTAAACCCCCACTGGGACGACTCTAAGCTCTTTTTAGAAGCACGCCGAGCGGTTGTTGCGCAAATCCAGCGCATTACTATGCAGGAATTTGCTCCGAGTGTTTTAGGAGAATCTGCGGTTGGGAAACAGCTTAAAGAAGCTACCAATGGATTTTATCGGGATTACTCATCGGCGAACAGACCCGGGGCCTTTGACGCTGTTGCGTTAGCAGTTCTTCCAGCGCTTACATCACTATCGAGGTACCCGCATGACATGAACGCCACACTGGAGAACAAACTCGATTACGTTGCCAGGGGGCTCAATCTCGACATTATCGAGTCCCTCAGATCAAGGTACGCTTACAACGGGATGCCCCACATCTGGAACACCACCACTTTACTAATCCACATGGCACGTGACCACGGAATTCCCGGGTACTTTGCCTTCCTGGAGCACTGCGCCGCGGCTCCGGGGTCTCCTACAAGGTTCATTAAATCCGAGGATGTCGCAATGTTGCAGAGCATCTACAACAGCATCGAAGACATTGATTTGTTAGTCGGCGGAGTTCTTGAGACTCCTGAGAAAGGCGCTGCAGTCGGGCCGACCTTTTCTTGCTTGCTGATAAACCAGCTTGCCAAGCTGAAAAACTCCGACAGATTTTGGTACGAGAATGATTTACCACCGTCAAGTTTTACCGGAGACCAACTCAAGGCTATCAAACGAGTCAGTCTAAGTAACTTGCTGTGTGCCAACGCAGCAGTCTCGACAATACAGCCGATGGCTTTTATCCAAAGCGATGAATATTTAAACGCAAAAATCGATTGCGACAGGTTCGCTCCGCTTGATTTGACCGCCTGGAGAGAAAAGACTGACGAAGTCAATGAAGATACTGATAAATCTCCTAAAGTCAGTCAAGATGACCAAATGACGCCTCTCATAATAAAATCTAACCAATGGATCAACAAGGAGTCGCTAATTGACCCAGAAATTCTGAGTTTAGCACTAAAGAAAGCCGAGCAAGATTTGATTTCAAGGAAAAAACTTGAGTACAACTCCTGGCTCCAGCAGAGAACAGCAGACCCGAGATCTCCAGCTGGTACAGCTGCTAGTTTTTCAAAAGCTAATAAAGACGCATTGATCTTGGCTAACTCTTCAATTTTCTATGAATTGATCACCAACGAAATAATCAACGGCGCTCACGGACTTAAGCGTCGCAAAAGACAGGTCTTTGGAAATTCTAACGACTTTGATTTCTCAAACAACGGAGACTTATCAGACCTGCTGCAAAACGTTGACCTTACCAACTTTTTAGGAAATTCCCGAGCTACAAATCACGAGGAGATAGATTGCCCGCCAGAAGAAGGCGCCTGCGATCCTACTACGGCGTACCGTACTTTCACGGGTCATTGCAACAACTTGCGCAACCCGAGTCTTGGCAAATCACTGACGACCTTTGCGCGGCTCTTACCACCGGCTTATGAAGACGGAGTTTCCAAACCAAGAATAACTTCAGTAACCGGAGCTCCTTTGCCAAATCCAAGAATAATATCAAGAACAATTCACCCGGATATTTCAAACCTCCACAACCGGTACACGCTTATGGTGATGCAGTTCGCCCAGTTCGTCGATCACGACATAACAATGACCCCCATTCACAAGGGCTTCGCGGAGTCGATCCCCAGCTGCAGATCTTGTGACTCAGCTCGCACTGTTCACCCAGAGTGCAACCCCTTCCCGGTTCCTCCCGGAGATCACTTTTACCCAACAATAAATGAAACTACTGGTGAACGACTGTGCTTCCCTTCGATGAGATCTTTACCAGGACAACAACATCTGGGTCCTAGGGAGCAGATCAACCAGAACACCGCTTTTCTGGACGCTTCTGCTGTCTACGGAGAGAACATTTGCATCGGCAACGTCCTGCGAGGGTTCAGCAGCAACGGACGCATGAACGTGACTCTCCACCCAAGCAGAGCTAAAGATTTGCTGCCCAGATCTGCTACTCACCCTGAATGCAAGGCCGCGTCCGGGTACTGCTTTATCGCCGGAGACGGCCGAGCTTCCGAGCAGCCTGCGCTGACTGTCATGCACACTATGTGGGTCCGTGAGCACAACAGAATAATGGAAGGCTTAAGGGGAGTCAATCCTCATTGGGAGGGAGAAAAACTCTACCAAGAAACCCGGAGGATTGTCAGTGCGATGATGCAACACGTTACTTACAATGAATTCCTGCCAAGATTGCTCGGTTGGAATGCTATAAGTCTCTACGGCCTCAAGCTTTTGCCGCAAGGACATTATAAAGAGTACTCACCCACTTGTAATCCCAGTATCGTCACAGAGTTCGCTGCTGCTGCTTACAGAATAGGACACTCGCTGCTCAGACCGCATCTGCCGAGAATGGACCAGAATTACCGACCAATAGACCCGCCAATTCTTCTCAGAGACGGATTCTTTAATACTGACATGCTGTATGACCAAGGAATGATCGACGAAATGATCCGCGGGCTGGTCGCTACGCCCATGGAGACCATGGACCAGTTCATCACTGGTGAAGTGACCAACCACCTGTTTGAAAATAACAAGATACCTTTCTCTGGAATAGATCTCATTGCGTTGAACGTACAGAGAGCTAGAGACCACGGAATCCCCTCGTACAATCACTACAGAGCGCTTTGCAATCTTAAACGTGCGACTACCTTTGATGACCTGTCCCGAGAAATGGCTCCGGAGGTTATTGCGAGGTTCAAGAGGACTTACGCTCATGTTGATGACATTGATCTCTTCCCTGGAGGAATGAGCGAGCGACCTCTTCAAGGAGGGCTTGTCGGTCCTACCTTCGGGTGCATCATTGCGATTCAGTTTAGGCAGTTGAGGAAGTGCGACAGATTTTGGTACGAAACTGATGATCCGAATATTCGATTCACTGAAGGCCAGCTGAATGAAATCAGGAAGAACACGCTGTCGAAGATCATCTGCGAGAACATGGACTCGCATGTCGAGATGCAGCGCGCTGCTTTTGATCTTCCGTCGAATTTCTTGAACCCCAGAGTTCCTTGCGGAACTATGGCTGCCATGGACTTCACTCCCTGGAGGGAAGTCAGGCACGGAGGATGCCAGATTGGAGGACGCAGGGTTTCTATTGGAGAGTCTGGCTTTCCTACTCCTTGTACTAGCTGCATCTGCACTGACGAAGGTGTAAGTGATTTTTTTTTTTTTTTAGATGGCTCTCCGCCTTTATTAATCGTCGATAGTTAAGGAAGTACAGGGCAATTTAATATAATTACGATACGACCTTGTATCTTGAGAACTATTTACATTTTTAAAGATATAAGTTCATCCTGATGTTACACTCATCGAGACCTTTCATTTGAGTACCCACATCAATTTTTCATATATATATATATATATGAAAAATATATGAAAATGCATGTGGGTACTCAAATGAAAGTTCTTGATGAGTGTTACATTGGGATGAGCTTATATCTTTAAAAAAGTCAATAGTTAAGGAAGTACAGTGCAATTTAACATAATAATTAAGAAGGCTCTCCGCCTTTATTAATCCGCAAAAATTACCCGGGTCAAAGTTTCTCAGCAATATCTCAAGTACAATAATTTCTCAAAAGAAAATTTTAGATTTTTAGATTTTTAAATACAGATTATTTTTATGTAATGGGTCGGGTAAGATGTAATAATTGTTTTTTTTAATTACAGACTCAGTGCGCATCACTAAGAGTCACTAATTGTGACCAATTATTACGTGAGGCTTCGCGTGAAGCCATTTTACGTGATGAAATCTGCACAGCTCAATGCGGCTTCGCTCTAGCAGGTTCCAACCAATCTGCCAGACAATTTTCATCAACGTCATTTGCTACGGCTTCCAGTAATCCATTTAGTGGTTTTAAACTGCCCGATCTCTCACAATTTCTCGGTTAACATCATCTGAATTTCAGCGTGTATATATGTACTTTCACATCATTCCCGAGTCTGAATCACATAAACTCTGAGTATACACTCTGATAATAAAAAAAAAAAAAAAATATTAAATGTTAGTTAGTTATATTTGTTAAACAAAAATATAAATAAGATTTCAGAGTGTATACTGAGGATTCAAACATAAAATGTACAGGATTAAATTATTGGTGGCTAAATTTAATTATTGTATTATTTAAAAATTATTTTTCTAATATAATATTTAAAAAAAATGTTTACTAATTGTAACTTTAATTGTAATTATAATGAATATTGACAAGTAAGTCATTATCGACAAGATTGTGCTAATTGTTTATTTTAATTTTTTTTTATTGTCTTTTTTTACTCATCTATTATATCTGACAAGTGTTTTATGTATTGTTGATTATATGTTAAATTTTTAAAAAGATTTTTTTATTATTTCTCCGCCCAATTGCCGTCCATTAGCCTAAGAATTGACGTGAAAAAAAATTCCCATGATTGTAATTGGCTCAAATATATTCTTCTTATAATTTCATTGAAGCCGGCTATCTTCCCTTTTATTTTTATAATTCCGGGCCATACGCCGAACTCAACTCTGTCTCTTATACTCAATCATTGCAAAATGATCAATGAATTCGATAAGTATAGATACATTATATAAGATCTCATATTTACATAAAATAAGCCGAGTTGGATTTAATGAGTTTTATATAACAGAAAATAAAAATTATTTTTCTGTTATTTTTTTTTATTTTTTTTTTTTTTTCTTTTAATTGAGAACGGTTTAGCTGGCAGATACTTCGTGTTTGTTGTTGACAACTGAGGAATTTTCTTGGATGGTAGTTGTCTGGTCGGTGCAACGCCAAAGTCCATAAGTCTTTCCGACAGTCGTCTGCCAGAGTCTCAGAGTTCCGTCCTCTGAACCGCTGGCGTATAACTCACCGTCTGGAGAAAATCTTACGCAATGTACTGGTCCGAAATGTCCTTTGAATGATTCTAAAAAATATTTATTATTAAATATTGTATAATAGTTAATTATTTCAATTTATTAATAAGTATTAAATAATAATTAACATACCTATTTCTATACCAGTTGAATAATCGAATTTGTACATTTTTAAATCTTCACCGCCACAAACAAACATTGAACAATCTGGATGCAAACTCACGCTGTTTACTTGAGTTGGAATTGTATATTCACGAATTTTTGTTAAACTAAAAATTAAAATAATTAGATTAATTTTTTTTACAATCATAAATTTTTAAATTAACTTTTTTCTTTTAGGGAATTAATACATTATTAAGAATTCAAAAACTTTTGACGAAATAAAAAAAAAAAAAATTCAAGGTAGACAAATGAACTTGAAGAGGCCAAGGTTACCTTTACCTTGATCGATTATAATTTTAATATTTTTTTCAAAAGATAAATCACCTAGAGGTATAAAACAGCATACTTAAATTTAAATTTTCAATTTTATGCAGAATTAATGAATTAATTTATTTTATAGAATTTTGTGGCAATAAAAACAAACAATTATAATAATGAATTAGATATTCAACCGATAATTTATATTTTTAATTATAAATTAATGGTATTTAATATCCTGTCTGTTATTATTCAATAAAAATGCAGTTATAATTATATAGACACAAGTATTTTTAAATTACTTGTCGTTTAATTATAAAGTAATATATACTTTAAAATTAAATAATAAAATATTGAGTGTTTTAAGCCTCTGGGAAATGAGTATTTTATAAAAAAATAAATAAAGTTATTTACTCTAAGCTATTCCAGAACGAGACGGTATTAGAATGCGTGGTAGTAATTATTTTTCCATCTTTAGAAACTTCCATCGAACTAGGAAGAGCCGGAAAATCAAGTCGTCTTACTTCTTGGCCGTTGCTTCGATCCCATACTCTCAGGGTTTTATCGTCAGCACAACTTACGATTAATTTATTGTCATTGAAAAAGGTTACTTGTTTTATGAAGCTTGTGTGCCCAGAAAAAACCTATCAAGGATAATTTTATTATTATTTAATAAAAAAAAATTTTTTTATAATTTATTTGTTAAAAAAAATTATTGAACAACTGCTAAATTATTTTTTATAATTTTTTTGAACAGTTTTTAAAAGTCTCAACAGGTTATGGGCCCAGACTAAAATAAAGACTAGAATAAAATTACTAATGCAATAAAAATAACCTGGGGTGATGAGTCAGGCTTATTAAGATCAAAAATACGGAGTAGTTTTTCATTGGAGCCTGTGCAAAGATTGTTAGAGTCAGTGCTAAATCCGACGGACTTGACAATATGGTTGTGTTGAAATGAATGAATTTCTTCGCCCTTGATGGCGTCCCAGACTTTAGCATTGAAATCAGCGGCACCAGAGGCTGCACGAGTGGCTTGTCGATTCAAGTCAACTCCCCATACAGCTCCTTTGTGGCCTTCGAATGTACCGATCCAGTCTCCAGTGTCACCTTGTCTCAACATGGGCTTTCCATCTGAAAATATCACCCATTAATTAGCAACACACAACCACAAGCCTCTTGTAGGATTAAATAAATAAAAACTCCAAATGAAAATTGTATGAGACAATCCTGGAAATAAAAATAAATATAAAATATAATAAATTTAAATGAATTCAGTGATGTCAAATCACAATAGCGACCTTAAAGTATCCGCGAATAAAAGTCTGAAGCCTTGAAAAATACCGGAACTAGGCCAAGGCGATCAACAATACGGATATTTAGTATTTGAAGGATTCTCTTATTGAGAAGATATAAATCCGCTATTTTATTTTTTTTTTTTTTTTTTTTTTTTTTTTTTTTTACTTTTAAAATAGGTAAAATTATTTAGCTTATTATTTTTAGTTCAACAAACCTTTGCACGCTGAAATTAAATAGTACCCAGTATCAGTGATGTCTGAAAATGCCAGATGAACAACTGGTCTCGTGTGTCCACTGCATGTCAAAGGTGTTTGTCTTAAATTCGCCATTTGTTTGTAATTATTAAAACTTGACAATTAAATTTACAATTGTCAGATTTAAATTTATAAAAAAATAAACAACACTTGTCAGTAAATTATCCAATTTAAAGGTTATCTTCCTGACAATTCTTGCTGGTTTACTTCTTCTATTTACAAGTTACTGTATAAATTTATATTTTATAAAATAACAACTTTTTTTTGTTAGAAAAAAAAAAAAAATACAAAATATTTTGAGTAAAAAATAAAGTTGATTATTTGAAATATTGATTATTGGTTAACATTATTGTCACTGCAACTGAGTATTAAATTTAAATGAAACCCTTTGAGTGAATACTTGTTGGGTTTATTTTTTTTTTATTTTAATATAAATGTTTGTGTTTATGTATGGGTGTTATGTGGTTAATTGTTTGTTATTTAGTGAGCAACTTGTAACACTTTCGGCTGGTATACAAATACAAATAACCAACAACGTTTGGACTCGTTTGTTCATTTCATGCGTTTCATACTGATTAAGACTAATGGTGGGGCATTTTAATATTTTTTTAAAAATTACTTCCCCCCTTATCCGCTGAGTAAGAAACTAAATCTTTTGTATTTAGGCGCTAGAGGGCGGTAGTAGTGACTTTTGAAATCAGCTCCTCTCTGAAGATAACCAAAAATTCTTTAATTCTGAGAATAACAATATAAATAAATATATATTTACGAGGAAATAATTGGAGTTTTTTTTATAAATTATTATTTTAAAAAGTAATTAAATTTATAATAATGAGGTTTTGGATTATGACAGCTGTTTTATAAATTTTATGTAAGTAAATATAATTTTTATAAATTAGTTTTTTGTAATAAAATTCATTTTTATTATTAAAATTTATAGAAATAATTCTTGCTAAAAATAGTGGAGTACAGTAAATTTAAAATTATTAATTAATCCACATAATAATAATAATAATAATAATAATAATAATAATAATAATAATAATAATAATAATAATAATAATAAATGTAAGTACAAAAAAAAAAAATTTGACATGTAGAAATTTAAAAAAATTAAAAATCCAATTGTTTAAAAATAATTTTTTGGAACAAATTTTTTTGTTAAAAAAAAAATTAAAAAATTCTCTAGTGACTGTTAACTTTAATATCATAAAAATTTTTAATGAAACTATTTTTATTTAATAGCTGATGAATAATTTCTGTCAAAAAAAAATGAAAAATTTTTTTTTAAGGAATTAAATTAAAAAAAAAAAAAATAAAAATATGGAAGCAAAAAAAGTAAGAAGAAAAAATATATCAGTTGACTTACAAGTCAAACTAAAAGCAATAAATGACTACCGTAACGGAGTAACAACGACAGACATCTCCAAAAAATTAGGAGTTCATAAATCAACAATCCTCCTTTGGGTAAAAAAAGAGAATGTAATAAAAGAATGGAGCGACGGGTGTCAGAACCACATCCCGGAGTCCAGGAAGAGACTGCGCAAGCCAGTGTATGACGAGGTAGACAAAGCGATGTGGCTGTGGTACCAAGAACGGCTCCGAACTGGAGCACCTATCAGCGGGCCACTTATCAAAGAACAGGCTTTGAAATTCGCCAAGTTGCTGGACGATGACACTGAGTTTAATGCGAGCCAAGGTTGGCTCGCTAGATGGAAGAAGCGGAATGGAATTATCAGTTTTACCCATGATGATAAACCTTTAGAAAAAGACAAAGATAAAGAGAAGGACAAGGATACAAATGGAGACAGTGAAATGGAGGTGGAAGAAGATTCCACATTTTCCTTTAATGAAATAGTCACCAAAGAGAAGCTGACTCCCGACCAAGTATTCACCTACGGCGAGACTAGTCTACCTTACAGAGAAATTCCAAGCGCGCTGTTGAGCTCCAAGCACAGAGCTGACGTGGAGCAGTTTAAAGGTTTGAAGGAGCGAGTGACGATGATGGCTTGCAGCAATTCCTCTGGTAGATTCAAGTTGCCGCTGGTGATAGTAGGCAAAGCTGCGATTCCTAATTCTGTTAAATCTCTGAGCTACTTACCGGTAAAATATAAGTGCAAGAAAAAAATATGGATGAACCACAACTCCTTTGAGGAATGGTTCTACGAGGAGTTTGTTCCCGTAGTGTCCAGGTTTTTAGCGAAACAGAAATTGCCGGAAAAAGCGATCTTGTATGTGGACAGCTCGATGACCTACACGCAAATTTTGAGGAGAGGAGACATCAGAGTCGAGTTCTTTCCCAGTCAGGTGGTGAATATTATGTCGCCGATGAGCCAGGAGTTTTTTAAAAGCGTCAAGATGCTATACAGGCTCAGGCTCTTGTCGTTTATTCTAGATAATTTTAATACCGGGCTTACTGTAATTGAATCTCTGTCGAAGATCACTGTTCAGAATGTAATTTTCTGGGCGACTAATGCCTGGATTTATACTCCAGTTTATAAAATTGTCAATGCTTGGAAGCAGGTAATTTTTTTATTTTTATTTTAAGGTTTGTTATTAATTATTAATGTTAATTTATTTTTAGCTGTGGCCGGAAATTGTTGCCAAGATGGAAACCCCTCTGGGAAATATAGAAGACGCTGACGAGTCTATTAAACTCCAAGCTGAAGACTTGATAAACCAGATCTGCGACCTTCTGAAAAATTACTACAATTTCAGAGAAATAGACATTCAAGAAGTCAACGAGTGGGTTTGCTCCAGCTCGGTGTCTGAAGAGACTTTTAATGAAGACATTATCCAGGTAGTGAGAGAAGAAAATGAAAAGACCAAGAGAGATATCACTCAGGTGGATCCTTCAGAGTATCGTTTAGCGTTGAAAAATAATTTAGATAAATTAATAGAGCACTGTACGGGTAATAAACATTATTCGGCTCTTCAGTTTGAGGCTCTGAAGAGTGTGCGTGACTCTTTGAAGTCAGAGTTTTAATATTATTTTTTTTTTTTTTAATAATATAATAAAGATTTATTTATACAAATAAAACAAGTCTTTTTTTTTTTTTATAATTACATCTTTTGTAATTTATTTTGTCATTTTTTTTCTGAGTTTTAATTTTTTTAGAGTGGGGGTTGATATTTTTTTAAATATGGCGGGTCGGGGTATACATCCTTGAAATTATAACCTACAATTTTTACTCTAATGTTACGTGACAGAAAACAAAAGTTTAGTTATTGTTAAAAGAAAACAATTGATATATAAATTAAAATTATTTTGAATTGTTTATTATTAATTTTTTAATAAACAGTTTATTTTATAAAGTTGTAATTTTTAATGACAGATTTATAAAATTAAAAAAAATGGAAAGTCAAATAAAATCATTGATTGAGTATCGAAAAGAACTTGGCGAGGAAGATGGACATCTTAGGAAAATTGCTGCTCAGATACAAGAACAATTATCTTCGCTTGAGGTAAGAATTAATTTTTTTAAATAATTAATACATTTAATTTTTATGACACTGAAATTAGCGATTTTATTTTTCTTTAATTTAATTTATTAAAAGAAAATTATCAGATGTATCTTAATTTTACTATTATAAATTTTAACTTATTGTTTATGATGAATTATAGGTTGAAAGACTAGCCCTGACTCAAATCGTCGCCAAGTCAAAAACAAAAACAGAACCAGAGATTACAAACATCAAAATGTCGCCTAATAGCCGATTAAAAGAGCTAAACTTGAATGTCCCGAGTTATTTTCATGCTAAACATAACGTCGAAGAGGAAGAAGACGAAGATGAATATTAATGTTAATTACTACTTAATATTAAACTGTAAATAATTAATTTAATAAAATTATTTTTTTTTTTTTTTTTTTTTAGAACAGATTTATTGATTTTTGACAAAGCATTTATATTTTACAACTGTTTAATAATTAAATTATCGATTGTATTAAATATATAAACTTTAATATTAAATTTACGGTCTAAAAAATGAGAGTTGATATCGAAACTGTCAACAAGACAATAATTATAAACTTAAGAAAAATAAACTTATGTAATAACTCCATCAGTAACTATAAGTATACACTAATAAAACTATTTCAATCACTGTCAAACTTTACAACCAACCAATTGTAAACTCCAAAGTCTATTCGAGTAATTTTTAATAAAATATAGTATTTATAAATAATAAAGAGAAAATTAAGAGAACCAACCACGGACAGCGTTTGGATTATTGTGCTGGTGTTCTGGTTCCTCCGGAGGCTGCATGGCCATCTCGGCACCCACTCGGTTAACTAGAATCTGGACTCCTTCAATGAGCGCCAACAAGACTCCTCCGATAAGCGCACTGCCACCCATCGCCCAAACTCCGCTCCTAGCTGCAAGAACTCCTCCAGTGAGAAACCCGCTCGCGATAGAGTTCCAGGGGTCCTCTTTTTTCCTGATGTGGATAAACGCACAGTCTATCGCCGAGAAAGTGACGCCCCAGACCGCAAAGTTCCCTGCTAGCACTGGAGCTCTCTGTTTCACTGCTGTTATACTGCTTATCAGTCGTCTGTTGATTCCACTCGGTGCATTACGGTACCCTTTTATGAACTGGAATAATCCTCCCCCTACGGAGCCCAACACGAAGGCGCCTCCACAGTCGTCCATTATCCTCCAAGGGCATGGTTCTCTCATGTAGTCTCCCATTGTTTATCTGTAATTTTATTTAGTTAATTAAACTAAAAATTAAATTAAAGTTCAGTCACTTGACAATTTTTTTATTTTATTTAACAAACAAATTTGCTCAAAAAAATTATTTTTAAAATTTCTAAATTTCAGTTTTTTATTTAAAAAAAAAAAAAAAAAAAAAAAAATAGAAAAATTATTAAATTAATATTAATTAGTAAGATTCATTTTTTACAAATATTTGAGGTTATTTTATTTCACAGATGACGAAATTTTAGAAACTTGATGACAATCTTTTAATTCATCACTAATCTGTTAATTAAAAATTAAAAAATTTTCATTTTATGTTATAATTAATTTTTATTTTTACAATTACCTTTTTTTCGAGTTTGTACTATATACTCGTGCACCGGTTATAACTTTACTAGAATGAGAAAAAAAAGATATGAATATGATAAAGCCTGGAATTATCTTAATTATCAACGAGAAGTTGGCGCTTTTGACTGTTTTATTGCCAACTTCATGTCAAAAAATCGAAATTCAATTTGGTGAGTAAAACCAGCTTGTTGTTTTTTTTTTTTTTAATAAATTAATCAAAAATTTATTCAATTTTATTAAAAAATGAAAATAAACTAAAAGTTTTTTTATTTTACAGGAATTTTAATTTTTGATCCATTTTTTGGAGTACCTGACAGTTTTTGTGATTTTTTAATTTTTTATCAATCAGCTGTTTGCTCCAAAATATTTATAAAATCATTATTATTATTATTATTATTATTATTATTATTATTATTATTATTATTATTATTGTTGTTAGTAATAGATTTAATAACACGTAAGCATTTTTAGATAAATTTTTTGGTTAATTTATTTTTAAAAATAACATTCAAATTTTTTTTTTCTTTTTTAGATAATTTATTTTCCTTATTCATAGGACTTTGTACCTGAGTATGATGCAATAAAAGGTAATAAAAAACGTTGATATATTTATTTATTTCTAAACAAGTTCAACAAATTTTATAATTTAAAACTAAACCTTTTTTTAGGCATCAGTGAAACTATTAATTTAAATAATAGAAATGAAAGAATAATAAAATAATGACGTAGAATGTGTGTAATCTACTTTATAAACGTGATTACGTGTATCTTGGAGATATTAAAATAGCATACCATAGAAAAATAAAAAATAAAAATAAAAATAAATTAACAAACAATGAGAAGAAATCTTGTTTACCTTGAGTTACTTAGATATTATTAGATACTGTAACGAGTCATTTCCTTACTAATATATGGGAGAAAGATAATAAATAAAATGAGTCAATTTGTTTTAATAAAACAACAGTCGTTAGAAGAATTTTCGCCTGTAAAGACATGTGCTTGACTGCTTGTTGATATTAATAATATAAAAGATGGACAACAACACAGCACGTGTCGCCAGGCCTTTTCAAACTTTGGAGGAGCTGTACAGTAGTTTGGAAGCTCTGGAAACTTGGCCGGATATTTGCAAGCTCCGAGACTCTGCAGAGTACGTCTACAGTGGCGAGGAAATTTCACTGGGAGAAAATCTAGAAAATTTAACTAAATTAAGTCGAAAAAAGCAGCCTAAAACTCTTGTCTGTCATGACATGAAAGGCGGCTATCTGGAAGACAGGTGAATTATTTTTTTAATTTTGCTTAATTATATGACTTTTGTTAAATTGAACTGTACTGTCTTAAATAATGACTTTTTTAAAGATATAAGCTCATCCCAATGTTACACTCATAAAGAGCTTTCATTTGAGTACCCACATACATTTTTGATATATTTTTCATATATACATATATATATATAAATATATGAAATATATGAAAAATTGATGTGGGTACTCAAATGAAAGATCTCGATGAGTGTAACATCGGAATGAGCTTATCTCTTCAATAAATGTCAATAGTTCACAAGATACAAGGTCATTTCTTTATTAAGTAGCTAGAGCTAAAGTAATAATAATATAGATTATTTTTTAGATTCATTGATGGTTCTTCAGCAAATGACTCTTACGCTTTTTACCACTGGAGTATCATAGACATCTTCATCTACTTTAGTCACTATACAGTGACGATTCCTCCTTATGGCTGGATCCAGACAGCTCACAAGCATGGAGTCAAAATCCTCGGAACCGTGATCACCGAGCGGACAGACGGTGAAAAAGTTTGGGAGAAGGTTTTATCCTCAGTAGAAGAAACTAAAAAATTCGCAGACGCTCTGATTTTGCTGGCCAAACACTTCAAGTTCGAAGGCTGGCTTCTCAATATTGAGAATAAAATAAAGCCTGATGATATGGAGCAATTGAAGTACTTTATTCAGTACTTGACTTATGGGATTCACAGCGAGATTGATAATGCTGAAATTATTTGGTACGATAGTGTCACGAGTGACGGCAGCTTGCTTTGGCAGAATAAATTAAATGAAAAAAATTTGTAAGGATTCTTTAAAAAAATAATTTAGTATCTTATTTATATTTATTGATATTTTTTTGCAGAGACTTTTTTGAAATTTGCGATGGAATTTTCTTAAATTACAACTGGACTGGCCCTGGGTTACTCGAGAGTCGTTCAATTGCAGAACGTACGGACCGAGTTACAGATATTTATGTAGGTCTTGATGTTTGGGGTCGTGGATGTCCTGGAGGCGGTGGTTTTAATTCAATAGAGGTAATTTTATTTTATTCTTCACTTAGAATAAAAAATTTTGTAATGTTTAATTTTATTTTAGGCAATTAAAAAAATTCACGAGTATGATTTGTCAGTTGCGATATTCGCTCCGGGTTGGACGCACGAATATTTCAATGGGCAGACTTTTGAATTACTTGAAAACATATTCTGGGCGCAATTGACTCCGTATATATACATACACGTACCTATTTATGAAAACGAGGTCTTTTCAACGAGTTTTTGTCACGGATATGGAGAAAAATTTTTCTACAATGGAGAAAGCCTGGAAACTTCTTCGGCTTTTTATAATTTAGCTTTACAGGAGACACAAATTTCAGTACCTAATTACCAGTTGAGATTTACTTATGTTAATATTCCAGAGGCTAAAAAAAAAGACAAGGAAAATAAAAAAGATCATGAATTACCGGTGTGTATTTTTGAAACACCCTTTCAGGTAATTCAAACTCAGGGTAATGAAATAAATATTATGGAAAAACCAGAGAAACAAAACTGTATTAAATATTTTAAAAAATATTCTTATAATGGAGGAGGCTGTATTCAAATAAATGTTTCTCGTCCGCAATATCATAGGTAATTATTTTATAAATTAATTAGTAAAAGTTTTTGTTTGTTAATTTTTAATTATAAATTTTTTAGATTATTTTTAATGCATCTTAAATACAGTACTGATATTCAAATTATTATTATTCATCGGTCTGATGAAAATAATGATGTTCAAGATAATTATAGGACACATTATCCAGTACTTGTTGTTAAAAGTGATTCAACAACAAAACATTTAGATCCATATGAAAATTTTGAATTAAATTATCAATGGAAGCAAAGGTTTGTATTTAAAATTATTATTATTATTATTATTATTATTATTATATTTTTATATAAAAATTAAGTTAGCAGATATTTAATTATTTTAAAAATTTTTTTAACAAGAAAAATTGTCATTTAGAAATTTAAAAAAATTAAAAATGCAATTTTTTAAAAATAATGTTTCTTAACAAATTTAATTGTTAAAAATGTCATTTTTTAATAATTATAATTTTTTTTAATAGTTACTATCGTTCAAATATGAAGACAATAAATGAACTTGGAGTAATTTTCACCACCCCAGGATCATATTGCCTTGGAAAAATCCAGATTCACCAAATGCCTTCAATTATTTAAAAAAAAAAAAAAAAAGTCTAAAAAATAATTAAATAAAAATAAAATTAAACACTATAAATATTTTTAATAATTTTTTTAACCATAAATTGCATTTGAACCTAAAAAATAATATGACAGCAAAGTATTATATTTAAAAATTTGTAATAATATATGTAACAGAGAATATACATATATATATGAACATTGCCAAAAATATCAGCGCCGCAGTTTATTCCAGCCCCTTCCAGCCCTTACTTACAATGTAAAAAAATTGAGCAGGTGATCACGGAGACTAATAACGGTTTAAATAACTTATAAAAATCACTACGCACAAACTTGAGATTAAAAATGCAGTGTCTTTTACAACTAATAAACAACCCGTGAGTTTTTTTATTTAATAAAAGTTTATTTATAAGTCCGGTGATGTGTAAAATAATTATTAGATTTTTTATTGAGTGATTATTTATAAAAATGGCTTTTGGATCCGGCGACGCAAAATGTATTCCTGACATCGGCAATCAATTGAATAATTTTGAGATAAATAATGGCATTAATTATTCATACAATTGTCGCTCCATTCATCACATTGACGAGAATCATGATGTCAATAGTAGTTACAACAACAATAATAATAATAATAATAATAATAATAATAATAATAATAATAATAACAACAATAGCAGTAATAAAAATATTAATAGTAATCAATCTCGGTCGGGGGAAAATAATGAAATAAAAAAAATAGATGTTGCAACTATGACAGATCCTCTGTCAATTGATTTTCGGAAAACTTCTGAGTACTTGGCTCGCTGTTCGAGTTTTAGTTCACTTAGTGTCTCACGATTTGATTCTCCACATTTAAATGGTAAGTTTTTTTTTAATAGTTTGTTAAATTATTAAATGACACTGAAGTTGACTGACTTTAGGAATTTTTTTTATAATTTTATTGCAATTAAATTGTTTTGAAAAAAAATTATTTAGAAAATTCCACTTGTGAATATTAAAAAAAAATTTTTTTAAGTGTTTTTTTTTTTATTGTAATTAATTTTTTATAAGAGTTTTAAAAAGTGACAGCTGACAGCTAACTTCAGTATCATTTTTAAAATAACAATGAAGTGCACTGACATTAAAAATTATTTTTATAAAGTTTGTAGCAATAAAATTATTATGAAAAAAATTTATTAACAAAATTTGACTTGTGAATTAAATGTAATTGATAATTAAAATTTTAGATCTGCCAATTTACCACTGTCCAGAATGTCCAAGTAAGTTTGAAGACCGTGATTTATTCAACGAGCATTTGGAAGATCACAAACAAAGGCCTCACATCTGCGACATTTGCGGTGCTAGTCTGAAACGCAAGGAGCACTTGGACCGCCACAAGCAGGGCCACAACAAAGACAGACCCTACAAGTGCTCGCTGTGCTGCAAGGCCTTCAAGCGGAACGAACATTTAGCTAGACATCAAATTATACACTCTGGTAACAAGAACCAGATCTGCTCAAAGTGCGGCAAGGCTTTCTTCAGGAAAGATCATCTGAAAAAACATATCCAGAGTCACAACAGCAGTAAACCTGTTGAGTCTCAGAGTATTAGTATTGAGAGCCAGGAACGCAAGGAAACTCTTGACAATATCGCGATGATGGTTAGACAATTAAGAGCTCCGCCTTTTTCAATAATTCGTACTTAAATCTTCATTTTTTTTTTAGAGAAAAAAATTCTGGATTTAATTTTTAATCAAAAATAATTGTAAGTTTTTTTTATTAATTTGTACTTTGAAAGTATGAATTTTTTTTTAAATATTATTTATAATAAGTCGGATTATTTTTTTTTAGTAATAATAATTGTGATAATTGAAATTAACATTGGGCTTAAATAAAATAGAAAAACGCTGAATTAATCATTAAATGATAAGCGTATAGTAATCAATAAGTATTAAAAAATATCAGAACTTAAAAAAAATTAATATTGGCATGTTTTAATTAGATATAGCTCAATACTCATAATAATAATAATAATAATAAATGAGATTAAGAATTTGCCATTTAAAAATAACTTTGTTATCAATAATTTTTTTACAAGAGTAATTTTATTATTAAACACTAATATATAATATAGTTAAGTTGATATTATTTTAATTTTATACTTACCGAGAAATGATTTAGATAAAAATGTATTAAATTAAAAAAATAAATGACAATGAATATTAAACTTCGACTTTATTACAATTTGTGTATATATATATATATATATATATATATATATATGAATATATACATACATATAGGTATGTGTGAAGATTACAATTATATATAAAGCATTGAGGAATGTTTTTTAAATTATTTTAAGTTTTTCCAGTTTGTTTTTATACTATGGCTCTGTTAATTTATTTTTTTGTGACCTATAAAAAAATAAAACGAGATCATGAAATCACTTTGACATTTGAATTCTCAATTATTTTTTTTGATTTGTTATTTTAAATTCTGGAAGAACTGTTACAAATAATTCGCAAAATATATAGGAGTAATTATTAATAATTATAAATAAATGGAAGGCTTAAGTAAAATTATTAATTAATTATTAAAATGCTAATGGAATTTTTAAAAATTATTTCTTTTGTATTCTTTGTACTTTGTCGATGAATTTTAATTTTTTTCAGTTCTATACTATTTATTTTTTTTTTATTTTTTTACGGTACTTTTGTATAATGGAATTTTTTAAGGAAGATTCCGAATTGCTTTCCTTACTCACACGCTACAATATTTATTATGTAACTATTACAATTATACGTTTGTCTACATAATACAATTATCACTCAACACATTTTTTTTTTCGTATGCTCTTTAACAACACAAGCTTTTTTTTAATTATAAAAAATCATTACTGTCTACATCATTCAATATCCAACGAATCAATTTTAATTACAAATATTTTAATATTAAATTAACAATTAAAAAATTGAAATAAAAAAATTTTTAAAATAATCTATTGAAGGTTTTAAGTTTGATAAAAAATAGTTCCAGATTCGGAGGACCTTGATGATGTACAAAAAAGCACAATTTAAATACCAAGCATACAAATGCCACGAGAAAGCTTTGATGTCTCAGGTGCTCTATATAGCCATTTCAACCCTACATCTTTCAGCTTCGTTATCTAGTTTGCAATACAAAAAATATTAAATCTCTTTTTCCACTTTCTCATAATCTAGATGTCTACTTTATTTCCTTATACATTTTTATTATTCCTATTTATTTTAATAATCTTAAATTTTAAGTAATCAGCACAATAATTAATTAAACCCTCAGTTGTCTTTATCAAATTAAATTCATACTTGAGAATGTTTAAAAATAATCGCCAATTAATTTTTTTTTTTTTTTTTTTTTTTTTTAATTTTTTTTTCCTTTTTTTCATTCATATTCAAGCTTTTAATTTTTGTATACAAACTTATCTTCTACAACTACTGATTAATCATTATGATTATAAGTAAATATTACCATGGCGTGGAGTAGTCCAGTATAGCTTCAATATATCATTTTACAATAATATTTTTACATTAATACTTATGGCAACATATTTATTATTTATGCTATTGAATGGTATTACATATGTGCTTTAAAGAATATTTTTTTTTTTATTATTTATTTTTTAATTATATTGAGGTCTCACAAAAACCTGAATTTTGGCTTTTTTGCCAAAGACCGAAAAGTAAGTTGATATTTATTTAAAATTAATTTTATTTCGAAATATTTATTAAAAAACTACGATTGCATTTTTTGATATTCATTAATTAAAATTTTTAAACGTGATAAAAATATTTTTTTAATTATAAAATAATAAAATTTTTTATCTAAATTTATTAACCATAAATTAAAATAAAATTTTGAATGTTATACATTCAAAAAAATTTTTTTCAACAACAAACTTTCGGTCATATATTATTATTATTATTATTATTACACTAAATTAATCTTAATTTTTACATTTATTATAAATCTATATTATTTGCCACAGCGTACTACAAAAAATAATATAAACCTGATGATGTATTGGTAAAATAAAATGGCACTGTATTTATTTAAAGAAAAAAAAAATTAATTTACGAAATTGTTAATCAAAACTGAAAAAAAAATATTATTTTTTCATACGGAGGATCACAAAAAATCACAACCAGAAGTCTACAAGAATAATTACCGTCAGACTATCAACGGATAATTTTAGTTATCTTGGCCTTCAATAATTATTGATATTGTTACATACATAATAGTCAAATTTATATTTATAAATTTATATACATAGTAAGTAAAAAAAAACATTAAGAAATAAACTTATTTTAATAATCAGTACTCAACAAATATTTAAAAAATTTAAAAGACAATTACAATAAAAAAAAATATAGTAACAAAATAGGCATGTAATTTTTTTTCGCTTCAAGCGTAAGTAGCTGCCAAAATAATTTTTGAACAATAAAAAATACTGAATAATTTTTAAAAATAAACGCCTAAATTTCTTTTAGTATTGCAAATAAAAATATATATTTATAAAAAAAAAAAAAAAAAACAAACAATAGTATCTCTAATGTATTTAATAATTGAATTATGACCGTGAATTTTATTTATGAAAATATTGATTTTAAACTCTCGTCGATCTGTACATTAAGGATAAACTAGTAGCAATAATTATTAATTATTAATTATCATAGGATAATTAAAAATTGTCATTGTCTTGTAAAAGACAAAATTTGTTTATCCATCGTAGAGCTAATAAACGAATGCTTACCTGTTAAGGATAATTGTAATTCTCAGAAATTTTTGACGTGACTAAGAAAGCTGAGTTCGTGACTTTGATACTGGCTAGACGTAGCAGCGTGGACGCCGACAGCTGCTTGATGAGCCGCGGCATTGACTGCCGCGAGATGATGATGATGGTGCGTCTGATGGCTGCTGGTAGTCTGATGAGAGTTAATGACACTATTATTCGTCGGATGGGGAACCTGAAAGCTCCCAGATGGCGGGGCTCAGGACAGGAGGGGGCCAGGATGTCCACCGGGCAAAACAGACGAAGTTGATACTGCTGTTGCTTGCATATTCGTAACATTGTTTTGTGGTTGACTCTGTTGTTGACTTCCTCCTTAATATTAAACAAAAGTCATTATTTAATACAGCAAAATTTTATTCTGCTTTAAAATAAAAAATTTCTCACCAGCATTTTGACTGAGTTCAGCTTTAACTCTTCTAGCAATATGACTCCGCGTGTGTTTCCTAAGGTGGTCTTTCCGATAGAAACCTTTACCACATTCGGTGCAAACATGCCTTTTTTCCCCAGAGTGTATAACGAAATGCAAAGTCAATTGTTCCTTTCGTTTGAAAGCCTTCAGACAAACAGTACAAACATAAGGTCTCTCCGGGTTGTGGCTCTGTTTATGACGAGTGAGATGGTCTTTACGTTTAAGCCCAGCGCCGCAGATATCACAGACAAACCGACGCTCGAGAGTATGACCCAGGAGATGCTGCTCAAGAAGCTCACGTTCGGGATAGGCCATATGACACTCTGGACAGCAGTAGAGAGTCGAGCCATCAAGAGCAGTAGTCAATCGTATTTCTCCAGGTTTTGGTCGGGGCTTTTTTTCCTTTGGTACTTTCTTCTTTTTCTTCTTCTTGGTGGTAGGCGACATCATGATATTCGGTGTGGTCGTCGTAGCGACTGCCACCGAGGTCGTGTGTGCTTGCATCTCAGACTCTTTTTTTATGCTCTCGGCGGAGTATTTTAAAAAATGGTGCAAACTCAACGGCAACGTACTTGCTGGAAGGTGGCTCAAGTAATCCGCGACTGTCGATCCAGGAGTCGCCAGCGATTGCCAGGTTGCCGGCATTGAGGCTGGTGTCTGGGTGTGAGCGTGTTGCTGATGATGCTGGTGGATCGACGAGTAGTCTTGCTGGCCACTATCATTTGTACTGGCCGAGTCACCAGTATTTCTCTGCTGCTCTTCTGACTTTTTTTCCTTTTTATCTTTTTCTTGCAGTAAATTACACACGTCCTGTTAATTAAAATTAAAATTTTTATTTTATTATACTAAAGTTAGCTGACGTTTTTAATTTTTTTCAATGTCAATTTATCACGATAAGTTTTTAGGCTGCATTAAAAAATTCTTTATCTTTCAGGTACCATAATTAAGAAACGACCTTGTATCTTGTCAACTATTAACATTTTTAAAGATATAACCTCATTCCAACATTACACTCATTGAGACCTTTCATTTGAGTACCCACATCAATTTTTCATATATTTATATATATATAATATGAAAAATATGAAAAATATATCAAAAATGCATGTGGGTACTTAAATGAAAGCTCTTGATGAGTGCAACACCAAGATGAGCTTATATTTTTAAAAAAGTCATTATTTAAGACAGTACATTTCATTTTAATAAAATTTATTATTTAATAAAGCAAAATTTTATTTATTTATAGTTCACAATTGACTGCAAGGCTTCTAGTTAATTAGAACTAAAAAATATTTTTAATTGCAGTTTTTTATAAATTAATTTTTCATTATAATAAAATGAATAAAATAAAAAATTACCTGATGATAAGATCTTTTTTCTTGCATCCCCGGAGAATTAGTGGGACGCTGCTGCACAGACTGTGCTTGTGAATAGGGTACATTGGCATAATGAGAATGTACATTACTATTCGAATAAGCAGTTTTATTACTAATCATCCCCTGGCTCTGTCCAGTCTGACTGCCATTTATTTCGGAGCGATACTTTCCGACAACCGGTACCCCGATCGGAGGCTGATTCGGAAAGTGATTAGCATACCTAGCAGTGCTTCCACTAGTACCGTCAGCAGTAAACTGATGAATACTAGGGATTGTAGCAGGAAAGTGACTTCCAAACGGTGGAAAATTCATTGCAGATACTCAATGCGTCACCTGGAAACAACAGTACACAATTAGTCTTGAATAAAACAAATTATAATTACATAATTTATTAGTAAATCGATAAGATCCTCAGAAAATCCACCCAGCTTACCCCATTATAAATTTTCACTTATATTTATAATAACTAATTATTAACTAATAAAATAAAAACAATTATTATAATGGAGTTAAAAAAATAAATATTTTTGATTTAGCACGCGGTTACTCACTCCAGCCATCGCAGCTCTTACTCTAACCCCGTACCCGCTACCCAAACCACTTCTCTCACTCTCACTGAATTCCCTTTGGTTACCAACCCTCTCCGACAATGGCCGTATATTTGACCCTGCACGCTGTCAATACTTGACTCGATTTTTTTATAAAATTCACATCAAGGTCAAATAATCCGAAATTAAAAAATCACAAATTTATAATAATTATTTTTAAATAAAACTAATTAAATTAAATTATAATTATAAGTGTTGTTTTACGTAACCACTGATCAATAACAATAATTATATTATTTACAGTTCCGTAAGTAAACGTCGATTATAGCGTAGCGTCATAGATTTTGCAGCACCCGTTTAGTACCGTAACAGCGTCGGCGTTTTAACTTGGAGGTCCAATTTTCACAATTATTAATCATGATAACAATTTTTATCACAAAATAAATTTATTAAATATATTTCTTCTTAATTTTCATAATAATAAATTTTCTTCTTTTTTAATTCTAATTGTTATTTAAAACAAAATTAAAACAACAATGTTCATTAAACAAAATAAAATTTTTTTCCTAAAAATAAAAAAAATATATAAATAAAGATATTGATCAAGTAAATAATTATAATGTATGCGTGTGTCAGTATAGATATAAAATGGCCGTAAGCCGGTACTGCGGTTAATCCTTGACTTAAAACTAAAAAACTAAAATGTAGGATTTAAATTAAATGAAATAATAAATAAATAAATTAAAATGGAGGAAGAGGAGTATATATAATGCTTACCATTTATACGGCCTTGATAATATAACATATAAGGCCTCGTTGTCGACCGTAAGTCACTTGACGCCGGCTAGGTATTTTATTTAAACAAATAAATCAACAAAATAAAATGAGTAAAAACAAAAGCTCGTTTAGATTTGTTGAGTGTTGCTGGCTGTGACTATTATTATTATTATTATTATTATTATTATTATTATTATTATTATTATTATTATTATTATTATTGTTATTATCAGTATAGTGAGTATTAAAAAATAAAGGAAAGTAAAATAAGGAGCTCCGTGACCGTTGACACCTGTCTCTTGAGTCCCCACCCCACTGTCCGCCCTCTACTGCGCCAGCCTCTTAACTATTTTTTCTCTGGCACTCAGCGGCCCCCGCGAGCGAGCATCACCGCTTCCCTACCGCGCTCACCCTCTCGACGCGAGACGCGAGCGAGCTCCAACCCACCGAGTAGTTGCCATCGTAGTCGTAATTCCCGTTCCCATTCCCAGCGACCCGCAAGCCACGTTATGTCCTACCGAGTCTACTCACACCAGGACACAGACCCATACCTAACTCGTCTTCTCCCTATCGACGATGTGCCAACGCCGAAAATACCCGAATCTACTGCCGGGCTGTATATATAATAATTCTCCACTCCCGACTGGTTACTCTCTCTCTGTTGTTATATATTTTCGCTAGTATAAAATATCCTCGGTACATTTACCAGACCGAGCAGATAACAGCTAAGCGGGGATGCCCGATCTAAATTCACCGTTTTATTTATCCTTTACTTCTTTTACATTACATTTCTTCACTTGTCATCATTCGATTGTCCTACATTTTTTTTTTACACTTTTCTTCTTTTTTTTTTTGTTCTTACACTTTGACAAATTTTATTTTTTTAATAATTACATTAAAGTTAGCAATTATTTAACCAATTTTATGAAAATTAAGTTAGCCGAAATTTAAAAATTTTTAGAATTTTTTTTCTTAAAAAAAAAAAAATTTTCACTTGTAAAAAACTTTAAAAGCTGTAAGTGGAATTTTTTAATAATAATTTTATTGTTATAAATTAAAAAAAAAAAAAAAAAAACATTTTCAATGTCAGATAACTTCAGTGTAATTAAAAACACCTTTAAAATTCACTTCTACGAAATTCTTTATCATAAAAACAATAAAATCCAATATATTACATACAATAAGAAATGTATAATTGAAGTGAAATGTCTAAACTATGTGTGTGTATAAAAAGCAGACGTTTTAATAAAAAATATTAAAAGCTTAAACTTTGTTACAATAAACAATAATTCTTTAAATTTTTACATTTATTATTTTAAGATTTTTTTTGTCCAATATTTATGTAAGTAACAATGTAAACTTACAAACAGATGAAAACTACGATACAATATATTAATTATAGTAAAATAACATATTTTTTTGTGTTTTTTATTTTATTTGTTTTTTTTTTTTTTTTCATACAACTATATACCCACTGCCTTAATTTTATTATTCTGTTTAAATAAATGAAATAAAAAGTATCAACTTTACTTAATTTAATATATTATAATAAACAATAAATTCATTACTCCAATAGCATCTAAATGGAAATTCTAATTAGCTAATTTTTAATAATTAGTAATTCGTTCTTAATGCGGACGCATTACCACCATACGGTTTGATTTAATCGTCAAATATTTTCTATTTAGTATTACAGTACTTTTTTTTCTTTTGTTTAATTCGAGTTATATTATTTGTAAACGATTATAATTTGATAATTTACAATTATAATTTATGTTAGCACAAATTGGTAGCAATTGATAAAAAAGGAGTTAATAGAAGCCTAAAGTTATTAACAAATGCATTATTGTTTAACTACTTTATATTTATATTTATATATATATATATATATATATATATACTTTTTTTTTTTTTTTTTTTTTTTTTTTTATTTACGAACGAATTAAATTATGCATGTCCGTTAGTTGTTATTGCTAATAAAATTGAATTGTTTTTAAATATAATTATTTAGCAAAGTTTAATGGTTTTCATTAAATCGGGAAAACCACTGGAAGAATCACTTTTCAACATCATAATTAACAGTTGATATAATCAATCTACTTTTGTTTAAAAATCCTGATTTTTAATCGATAAATGAATTTAATTTTTTTTTCAAATAATTTAATTAAATTTTTTATAGTTAAAAAAAAATATATTAAATCGCATAAACGACAATTTTAAAGAAAAGTATTATTCCATCTAAGTGCATTTCGATACATGGGCCCAAGGCAATGATTTATAATAAACAATTAATATGTTTTTTTTTCGTCTATTTACAATATTTGTAGTAAAAAAAAAAAATATCAAGATATCCCCATTAGTTACGTATATAAATCACGTTAACATATACAATCAGACACATCTATAAATTTGTGAAAAAATCCTTGACAAAATAACAATAAAATTTGATAGGAAAAAAATTAAGTCATCAAAAATTCAAATACAAATTTCATACACTATAACGTGCACACCGTCATATTAAATCCCCTTTTAAATACGAAAATATAATGTTATTATTATTATCATCATTAATATTAATATTAATATTACAAATATTATAGCTGTAAATACGCACTCTGTTTATTGATAGCAAACGTGTCTGAAAGCAACTCAAAAAACTGTGACAAAATATTTCCCCGTCAACAGCCATTAAATAATTATATTATTTTCACATTTTCGATATTCATAGATCCCACTACTATTAATAACTAATAATTAATATTAATGAATTATTTAATATTTATAATACATGAGAAAACCGATTAGTTGATTTAATAATATTTAAAACTTCATGTAATAATAATTATTGTAAAATATTATCTGGTATATTCTCACGATAAATTACTGGGTAATAAAACTTTCTATGCGGCTTTTCCCCTAGCCCGTTGATGATTGAACCGAAAATACCGCCCAGTCCCGCTCAGGGCGGTCAATTGCTGCTAATGCTGTTGTTTTTGTTGCTGTTGCTGTTGCTGTTGCTGTTGCTGTTGCTGTTGCTGTTGCTGCTGCTGTTGCTGTTGCTGATGATGCAGCATTGTCATAGCTCCCGTTTCAGCGGCAGTGGGTAACACAACAGTAGACTGTTCCGAGACAGCGATCTGGTGAATCTGAGCTTGTGACCCTTGGCCAACTTGAATTTGAATTTGTTGAAGCTCGGGTAACGTAGTCTGCTGCTGCATATCAACCTGCTGATTTTGTGGAGATTGTTCATTTTGCTGCTGAGTCTGAGTATTGTCACCGGTATTAAGCGGGTCTTCCTTCGCTCGTTTGGCCAAGTGGGATCTCGCGTGTTTCCTCAAATGGTCTTTGCGGTAAAAAGCTTTTCCACACTCGGTACAAACCTCTGTCTTCTGTCCAGAGTGAATAACAAAGTGTAAATTTAAATGCTCTTTTCGTTTGAATCCTTTCATGCACACAGAACAGATGAACGGCCGATCGGGATTGTGACCCAACTTGTGGCGCTCCAGATGTTCCTTGCGCTTCAATCCAGCGCCGCAGATGTCACAGATAAATCTCCGTTCAATCTTGTGACCAATGAGATGCTGTTCAAGCAACTCCTTTTCAGGATACGCCATGTTGCACTGCGGACAACAGAAGAGCGTGGTACCATCAAGAGCGGTTACAATGCTGACCTGGCCAGGCTTGGGCTTCTTGGGCTTGGGTGGCTTCTTCTTGTACTTCTTCTTCCTTTTGGGCTTGGTACCAGACTCTTGCTCCTCAGGAACATCAGGAATTATTTCAGTCTCGCCACTGGCAACTGTAATTTGTACAGTTTGGTCACCAGCGCCCGCGCTACCCGCCTCCAGCCCGTCAGCTCCGAGCGGACTCGACTCAATAGTCGACTCACGTTTTATCGTCTCTGCGGAAAACTTCAGAAAATGGTGCAAGTTCAGTGGAAGAGTGCTCGTTGGTAGTCGAGAGAGATAGTCTGCCACTGCAGAGCCTGGTGCTGCTAAACTCTGCCATGTTGCTGGCATAGACGTGATATATTCATCCCCGCTCTGGTTACCTTGGTTCTTAACATTGGCGCGTTTTATCAAAGCTACCGGGGTTGTACCCTCCTTAATATCGTCTTTAGAGTCAATAGCTTCTCGTAAAATTAAATCTTGAGGAATTTGAGCCACAACTGTGAGACCTTCGGGGGTATTTGGTAGTTGAACTGCTTGCTGGATAGTCTGCTGCGCCGTACTCGTCACTACTGTCGAGGTACTCTGTGTAGTTTGTTCGGATCTGTTTAAAAAAAAAATTCTCTGATTAGCATAATAAAATTTTGCTTTATTAAATAATGACTTTTGTTAAATTGCACTGTACTCTCTTAAATATTGACGTTTTTAAAGATATAAGCTCATCCCGATGTGTTACACTCATCAAGAGCTTTCATTTGAGTACTCACATGCATTTTCCATATATATTTCATATATTTATGTATATTATATATATATATATATATATATATATATGAAAAATTGATGTGGGTACTCAAATGAAAGGTCTTGACGAATGTAACATCAGGATGAGCTTAAATCTTTAAAAATGTTAATATTTCTCAAGATATAAGGCAATTTCTTAATTATGTATCTAGAGATAGAGAATTTTCGAATGTAATCTAAATACTTATCATAATAAATAATATAGATGATAAGCTTACGTTTGGGTAGTAGCGACAGTATTTTGCGGCGATACTTGAATTTGTAAGCCATCAGCGCCTTGTTGACTGTACGCGACTGTTAAAACAGTAGCAGCGCCTTGAGGGAACTGGCTCAGGGAAATCGGAGCGATGTGATACTTGGGCTGGTCAGCGCTATTGCCACCCTGGGTGACTGTTGGATTTACTACTTGAATTTGGACGGTCTGCTGTTGTTGAGTACCATCTTTGCCAGGTACTGTGATAGGTAGTGTTATAATCTGCTGCTGTTGATTATTTCCACCCTGGGTCGCAACAGTAAATCCATTTGGATCAACCGGTCTCAAGTAGTGAACACCACCCTCGCCTCCTGACAAAACACCGACCACCTGTCCTCCAGCAGTGATGTTTTGCGCGAACTTGGTGGTGAACTGGTGAACAGCCCCCGTGGGCAATGACCCGGTGGTGAACCCGGGAAAAGGTGTGAAGTTCATCTTGCTGCTGTCCGATAACCTGTAATCATAAATAAATTGTTAATAATAGAATTTATCTTGGGTAAAATGAAATATTTAAATGGATAATGGGCTATATAAGATGTTCCCGGTAAACACGGGAGTTTTATTTAAAATTCCATCTCTCAGTAATGTTACATGGTGGGAAAGCAGCAGTGGGGTAGTCATAAATGCAACCCCCCTCCGTCACATGATCATCATCCACCACCTCTTGAGCTTCTACTTCTACTTTTTGAACTTGTTGTTGTTCCTTATAGTTGTCCTCCCCCGCCACCAATGTCTTGCTTCCCCCTGTCGACAGACAGGAGTAAAGAGTAGCAGGGAGAGTGTTTACCAAAGTTATTTAGGATCGAGATATAATAGAGAGAACGAGGGAGAGAGAGTAGAGAATGAGAATGAGAGTACATCAACCCCACTCCATCACACCGGCATCGGTATTTGACAAAGGGTAGGGGTTAAAAGTCACAATGATACCAACACGTGGATCTGAGCTCAGGGTGGGAGCGATTTATCCTCTAAAAAGAGTGTGGGAGACTTTACTTAACACCCGGGGGCTAACTGAGTGGGAAATATTTATTTATATCCACCAGCTTTAGCTACCTTTTAATAGAAATAAATTCAATTAGATTAGATTATTTTATTTATCTAATAAATTATTATTGATAAAAGCTCGGCTACCATCTGGCGATGATGTCATCGAGCAAGGATTGAAGACCAGCAAGTACCTACTGAGCAAGATGTTGAACGAATGAAATTATTGGATTACTTTCGGACAAAGTTTTGAAGTTTTCCCGAAAATGATGATCATTAGAACTAGCATTAGATCTGAAGAATTAAAAGAAGGACGGAAGAAGGAAGGAAGGAAGGAAGGAAGGAAGGGTGTAGAGTTTAAGTGGTGGCGGAACTACGGGTAGGGGCATACCAAGAAAGAAGGGATACTACTCCCATGCGATCCCGAGAATGAGAAGGGAGAGGGAGACATGTCCGAAGCCAAGAACAGTAGTAACCTAGTGTAAATCCACTCGTACGCCCTTGGAGTTGAGTCTTGGAGGTTGCCAAAGTACGATCACTTCATCCTAGCGACACTTGGTCATCACATTGTTAGCTGGTGACACTCAGACCCGATCAACGCCACACGATCACGGACGATACGCCTTGCTTTGCCTGCTACGCACTCGATTCACCGATATTTATTTATATATCTACAACTTTAGTTACACACTGTTACGGTAAATTGTTGTTTAATGTCTAATAAGCTTCATACATTTGTTAATAAATATCTCACGGGTTTAACTAATTTTTACGAGATATATTTAACGATCAACGACGTTTCCGAGACGTTGCCCAGAACTTCTACTGCAAGTGGCTATAGTCACGCCGTGACGTAATAACGAGCCAAGCGGAACAACTGCGCAGTACAATGTACCACTACAATATTTTAATATACTGAAATAAAAAATATATATATATATATATATATATATATATTGGTAAACAATTACAATAATTGATAGATTATTGTTACTTATTTTTTTTTTTTTTTACTGTCTGTAGTTGTTGGGTTGTAATTAATTATCAGAATTAATTTTATTAATACCAATAAAAGTTTATTTAAATGACAACGGGCGTTGGCACATAAAACTCCAATATTTCCACGTCATCACAGCCGCCATTTTAGAATATAAAAATACTTTTGTTATTTATAACAAATGACGTGGCCCTTCAAAGAAAGCCTAAAAAAAATAATATTGTTGTTATTATTATTATTGTTGATGATGATGATGATGATGATGATGATAATAATAATGAATACGGGATTGTTGATGGAAATAATAATGTAGCATTGAAATTCCCTGGAAGTCTCTGGTGTTGCTGGTCAGCTGGATGCTGGTCTCTGGAGCTGAATGAATGTAAATAGGATAAATGAGGATGTAATAGCGAAATAAATACATAGGGTGATTGGATTTATTGAGAATGGAGGATTTGTTTACACCCCCACCTAGATGTGCCAAAGGAGGAGATGTGCAGAGGCATCAAAAGCAGTAACACAAGGTGGGAAGAAAACAGAGTGGAACGAGAGATGCTACGGAGGGGCCTCTGGGAGACCTCCACGGTGGGCATCCACCACCACGCAATTTCCAACCCCACCAACCTCTCAACCACTGTCCGCACCTCCAACCACCCCACCAAACAGCTCGAGCCAGAGCGTAGAGTCACGATGAGGTTCCCGCGACGATTTTAGTGTCTTGGGGTGGGTGCTCGGTGGCCACTGTTTCGCGGTAAATTCACGTTTAACAAGTTCTATCATTGTGCCCGAAACCAAAACATCATACGGGTACTAAACGCGCTTCCGTCCGGTAACACGGTGACGGCGATACAAGTTCAAGTCGAATAACGGGAGAAAGCCACGACACTACACCAATTATTTCTAAAATATATAACACACACACACACACACACATTGTTATAATACCCATTGCAACAATAATAACAATAATTACTCACATATTTATACATATTTAAATAGATATATGTATGAATTTATTGTACAGATAACAATATATATATATATACTTACTTGTGAAACCAAAGTTTCTTTGACGTTATCTTGTTCACCTTATGCAGCTGTCAGAAAAGATACTATTTTAGTAACTGGTCTCCAATACTGGGGTATACTCCTGTTAGGAACCCACCACGACTGGTACTCCAAGTGACGAATAAACGAGAACACGCTCTCACTGGAAACAATTTACAGTTTCCGTTATTCAGTTAACTTCTCAAACGTTGTACTGCTTCACAACCTGGCACTAACTCGAACGTCGACGCTGTGGAAGGCATTCGTGCTCTCGATTTACTTTAAGCCGACTTTCTCATTTCTATGGACGCTTATTTACCGACAACACTAGAATGTGTTTCTGTTTGTCCAGCCAGCGATCCCACTCATGTCTGCACTCTTTTCTGCGCCCCTGTCTTTAATGTCTCCAAGAGCCAGACATCCTTCAAATTCTTTAATTAATTAATTAAATTAATCATGCAATTTTTTTTAAGAAAAATTTTTACATCCTTCCAGAGTGTTAATTATTTCATACCTGTCATTTTTTAATAATACTAAAGTTAGCCGACGTTTTTAATTTTTTTTCAATAATTAAATTAGAACAAAAAAATACAATTTTTAAAAATTGCACTTACAGTTTTTAACAAATGACAATTAAATTTATAATATCATTTTTTAATTAATAAATTACTCTAATTTGTATACTTAATAAAAAAAAATTATAATGTATTTATTAATACTCTGTTTTTTAAAATTTCCACCTCCAAACTTATATTGATACATCAGTGATCTCGACTTTGGAGTAAACCAATCACAGCTGAGCTTAAGTATCAATAAAATGGCGCTGGTGTAGCTTCCAGTTTACGCGCGTAATTTAAATTTTAAATTCTTACATAATTTTATTTAAATTTATTATCCATAATTCTGTATCAATATTAACAATAATAATAATAATAATAATAATAATAATTAGAAAAATAAATATATTTTACAATAAGTAATTCACCGATATTTATTATTATTTATAAAATGCATAGAATAAATACACAATAATTGATTTATAAATTATAATTAAAAATTAGATCTCCTGTGCATCCTCTCCATGCTAAGAGTATACAGCAATTTGTTACTTTCATAATAATGCGGATTATCATTGGCATTAAGATCGGGTCTGTAGTCACTCGCAAAATTATTTTGAACTGGATGCTTGTTTCCGGGCGAAGAACTCGTCGACGGCTCCGAGTCGTTTGACGAAGAAGTGTAATTTTCTGGAATACCTGGAAATCCATTCAAATGAAGGTTATTTATCCTTTTGCTTAATGGCGTGAACTCGCTGCTTTCATCCTCCATGCTCCTCAGACGTTTCCTGTCAATTACATAAATTAAATAATTAGCAATTTATTTAATGCGTAATAAATAATAAATAATAATAATTCTAACCTGCTTGAATGTGTCATTGTTCCGTTGGATTTTCTTTTCTAATATAATTTATTAATTATCACGTTCTATGTATCATTTTGCCATAATAATATTTCTTATCTATAAATATATGCGATTATGACACAATTGATACTTTGTTTTCATCGCTAATACCGTAAATAGATGTCAATGCAATGCAAGAGATAAATTATTGGATGAATAAAAAATAATTTTCTCTTCTATAATTTACTTATCAGTTTATTATTTTATCCGTTGACTTATTAAGCAATCAATTGTTTATATTAAATAAATTAAAATGAAGTTTTTTTTTTGTTACCAAAGATGACAAGATGTATACACTAGCAGCTAGTTGTGTTCTGTCAGACAATAAAATTTTTCTCTCTCTGCATATTTTACCTGGCTAGATAATTTATTTTTATTTTCCAAGATGGCGCTAGTGGTATTGAGAAGAAATAATGTTAATTTGTCAAGTTGCCGCCAGTTGGTTTAAAATTTTTTAAATTTCTTACTGATCAGTGACAGGTAAAGTGAAAATATATTTTATCTTTTATCTTGCTTCTGTAATATGACGTTTTACTTATAAAGAATGACGTACGCTGTCATATATATATATATATATATATATATATTTTTTAAAACCCGCTTCCTATCCTTGGCTCGGTTTTAAAATAATAAAATGCCATATAACTGTGAGCTAGACACATTTCATTAGAATTACTAACTACCCGAATGCAGTATGTACTCATGGATGCGTCACAAATTAACAAGACAAGGCTTTAAACAACTTTCTACACGGTGAAAAAAAGTCATAAGTACTTTTACGATAATTAAATTCATGATAGAGATATATTTGTTTGTTCTTATTAATTAAATTAAAAGTTATTTGTAAAAAAGAAGAAATTAAAGTGATTATTTAAATGAGCTTATATTACTTTAGATTTATAGTTTTTTAAAGCAATTAATTAATAAATTTTTTACTAAAATGGAGATTCACAAGGATAGCAAGTTTACATGACCTTGATTCTCATACTGTGAAGATATCTCATTTTTTTTAGTCCATGATTTAACTCAAGTGTATGCCACGTGTGAAACCAATTCACAACAATCTACAGACACTTATTTATTTTATATATAAATATAATAGTATAATGAGCAGAAATTGAGTATGGGTATGAGTTTCTCCAACTGTAATTTAAAAATAATTATCTGATTAAATATTGGGTTTAGTTTGTTAATGGCCTATTTTATAAACATTATTTTACTTATATTATTACTTTTATCGTTAATTCTATTTTTAGGTAAAAATTAAATACCGTAAAAATGTAACGGTTGGTATAGTGAACAGCCGGCGACTGGTCGCCGAGTACAAGAACAAATTTTGTTTATTTTATTTTATTTTATTTTATTTTATTCAAATATGGAGAGGACAAGTCGGCAAGAAACTAGTCGGTCAGTTAACCAGGAGGACGATGTGGGTATCATGTATAACGGGCTCATTGACAACTAATAGATAGTAAATTACATGACATTGTATTTAAATTTCTTGGAATACATTTTTTTTAGCGCTAATTCTTCCTTAAAAATAAAAAAAAGAAGAAAAAACAATGACACTGAAGTTAGCAAACGTCTAAAAATTTTTGATTTTTTTTTTTTTAATTAAATTCCAATTAAAAGATATTTCTAAAAAATTACACTTATAGTTTTTCAAGTTTTTTAGACGTGCAAATTTTTTTTTATTTTTTTGTTATTAATTTTCATTTCATAAAAAACATTATTTTATTATTGCACATATTTTATAAATATTAAAAAATTCTTTTAATATTAATCATGAAACATTTTTTCCCTGTTTTAACTTTTTGAACTCATTCTCGTTTTATTTTCTGACCACATTTTTATCTCGCGATAAGACACAATTAAAAATCCAATAATTTAATAAAATTAAATGTTTTTTTAAATGCCACTTAACGCAACAATTATTTTTTAATGATAATATTTATAAAAATTATTTATTATTTAAAAAATGTATAATAATAATAATAATTATAAATAAATAAGAAAACAATGTTGCGCGTATAAATGAGGACAATTTAATTGAAGCTTATAATGCAAAAATTACTGAAGCACATCTGTGTTGTATTTAAGCCTGTAAAATAGCCTTGACACTCCTAAATGTCTTTTTATATAAATAAACCCATAAGAGTAGATGCAATTAATCTGGTGTGTAAAATATATGTTATACATAAAATCCATTTAATTTTATTTTGGGCGTAGTCGCTTGCGCTGGGAAAATCTTGCTCGGGTACGGGTGGGTTGTTGGGTTGCATGTCTGCGTCTAGATTAGGCCATTCAACTTTCGACCTACACGACATTGAACTTGGCCAATCGATTCGGAAACGTAAGGTGCAAGGCCACATTCTTAAATATTAAAGTAATTTTTTATTTGTTTATCTTCGATTACCTAATATTTTCCGTTCTTTCTTCATTTATTTCGACACTGGCCTACTTTTTCGCTTGAATAAAATAAAATGAAATAAAATAAACCAAATTAGACATTACATACTCACATACCGAGTGGTAATCGTCACAAATATGGTCATAATAAACAACCTTTATACCGAATAGGTATAAAAATAACTCATACCACATACTACTGTATGGCTTGTCCTAGAAATCTTACAGCCGGTGATGCTTAAAACCTCGACCTTGACAAGCTAGAGTAGACTTCGGCCTTATTGTACGGCTTTGGTTGTACCATTCGCATGACAATTGATTAATTATATACTATATACACTCATCTTGGCCTTATATTTCTTCTAATCTTATTTTTCAATATCAGTTTTTATTTTTTAAACGTCACTCTGGTCTAATTACTCCAAGATTTACTTAATAATTATTATTTTAAAACTCGGATTGTTATTAAATATTATGACGAGGTAATTTAATATTGTGACAGATGTCTTGATGCTGTCCTGAAGGCTAAAATAATATTTAGTCTAAAATATTGATTATTCATTATTATTATAAAAATTGTTATGAATAAATCATTAATTAATCAACTTTCTAGGCGAGGACATTAAAATATACTTAAAAAAAAAAAATTTATGAAGAATTCTTCAGAATATAATTAGTCTCCTTCGATTATAAGGCCATTTTTTTATCAATAACTCGCAATTGACGTATTAAATTTAATGTTATCAGTAATTAGAGAATTTTTTAATTTTTTTTTTTTTTTAATAAACAAATTTGTTCCAAAATTGCCAATTTTTTTTTTTTTTACCATAATTTATTTGTTAAAAAAAAAATTGTAAAAATGATTAAATATCTGCTAAATTTATTATAATATTCTAAATGTAATTCCTAAAAAATAAAATACTATTATTACTAACTCATGAATAAAACATTGTCAAATAAATGTAAATGGTTAATAATTAAAATTTCATTGATCGAAACTAGAATAAATAATAAAATAAAATTAATATCAATTGTGCTGTGAATCACAGTCTGATTACTTTTACCAAGTAATTTATTTTTATTACCTAGCTTCTGAGGATAAAAATTTCCAGGAATTATTTTATTAACTTATTAATTAATTAATTAATGAGCAATGATAAAAAGAATTTTTAATATAAATATATGAAGTAATAATCTGTTTTTATAATGAGATTTGCAAGTTTTGTAACCTTTCGGCATCAGCAGTTTGGTATTATATCTGAAATAAAATATTTTTTATAAATAAACCTCTGATGAGTCAATATAAGTTGAATGACTAAACGTAATGTGTAATGTGTAATGTGTAAGTAAGAAAAATAATTCAATGTGTATCCGTTGTCATCAGATAATTTCGAAGCTGTACAAATGGTTATTTTTTCCCCGACCAACAACGTCCGACAGTAGTGAGTCAGTCTGGAAACGCTATAGTTATATCAAACTAATACAAAAAAAAAAAAATATAT